TAGATTTTAAAATTGATATAAAATGTTCTTGTAGACCAATCCTCCACCACAGGGAAAGGCAAATGTATCTGAGTTTGTTGTCACTCCCAACCAAGAATCTGATGATGATTCAGATATTTGTGTCATAGAAGATGACGAAGTCATGGAATGCGATAACAGCCAATCTAAGGGTATGTACATTTATATTTTAATAGCTAAAAAATACAACTGATGAATGCAAATCAGTAAAATTAACCTGGAATTTTATTATTATCTTCATAATCAATACATAATGTGTAATCAAACAAAGAGTGGCACCCCACCAGAGTTCTGTTGGGATATTGAGAAGCTGTCTGTCTTTTCTTCTTTATTTTCGTTTGTTTATCTGTTTGAGTGATACTTAAATACAGGTTGATGCATTTTCAATATGGGCGCTCAATTCAAAATGGCCACCATTTTTTGTAAAAACTAATCTTTAAAAACATGAATACCAGTTTATGGATTTTATTAAAATTTTATATACTGATGCCCTTGGGATCTAGGCATTTTCAATGAGTGCTCATTTTGAAATGGCCATCATTTTTCATAAAAAGTGTAATCTTTGATAACTCAAATACCAGTCGACTGATTTCATTCAAATTTTCTATGTCGATGCCCTTTGGAACATAGGACTGTCTCTGCTCTGCTCAATTTTCAAGATGGCTGTTTAAATTCATTTCTTGACAAATCTAAATGTAACTTTAAATACCAGTTATAGGATTTGGTCAGAATTCTATAGGTTAATGTAATGTGGTCAAAGGACCTCTTCTCAAGAAGGAATTCCAAATATTGCCTTGCCACTCAATTCTACTTTTGTAAAAATATAATTCTTGATAACTCAAATACCAGTTGTCAGATTTGGACCAGATTGTACGTCGTATGTGCTGGTGCCTTATTGACAAAGAGCTCTACTCAAGTAGGAATTCCGAATTCAAAATGGCCACCATTCCTCAGAAAGGATATGATTTTTTCTAATAATACAAATACAAGTCATCGGATTTGGTCCAAATTTTTAGGCTAATGCCTCATAGTGATGAGACTGTTAGAGAAGAAATTTATAATATGGCACCATGTCACATTATGGCTTTATGGGTTAGATTTTGAGTGACGTGATAAAATATGTTTAGTTTGTAGGATTTGCTACTCCATGGAGTAGCTGTTTTTCTCATTGTTTTTGTTTCAGTGTTGAATTAGTCAAATGGAACATTGTTCAACCTTAGATTATATTCTACTGATTAAAGCAGATACGAAATGGTATTTTTGACCTTACTAAAGGAATCAATATAATTTTTTGATAAATGTATTTGGACATGGTTTCTCATCAGAATTGTGAAAATTATTTCACTCTAACGATGGTTATAGATGCTTAATAAGCAATATTCGAATTAGTTGTGATGTTATTGGCCCCCACGTTATCTTTGACTGTTCCCCAAGTAGCCAGTTTTGGTCCATTAAAGCATGACGTCATAATGCCAAGATGTTTTGTTATTTGTTTAAACAACAATCCTATGGTTGCCATGATGTCATGATTACCATTAACCAATAAACCAAAACTATATATTGTGTCTGATGTTACTGATCACGTGGGGACCAATCTGAATGATCAGTTAATTTTATTACGTTATTTATGCCTATTAACAGTTATCTAACATTTCTTTTATAATGGTTATCCCAAGAACTCTATGTTGGGCTTACAATGAAGAAAACCGCATTTTGTAGCTTCAAGTTGAAAAACCTATTTCAGTTGTCCTTTAAGGAAAATGGACCAAGGGAAACTTGCCAACACAAGCCTTTAGAAACCAGTCAGTACCAACTGTGTTACCATAAGACATTTAGAAACCATATGATTTAGTTTACTCAAAAGCGTTTAATGAGGGCAAATAAATCTCTGACAGCGGTTGATTGGCAACTATAGTCCGCAGCCTCTTTTTGAAAATTCAAAATGGCCGACATAAAATCTGAGTCTCTTTATGTTTTTCCAGATGCGAACAATAAGGGTCATGACTCTACTACGAGACCTGACTCTACAAGGCCCGACTCTACAAGTACCAGTTCAGGAAATGGTGAACCTGGCAGTGCCACGCAGGGTTACTCACTCAAATGTCGTCCATGTGGCTATAGCACTGATGACCATATAGCGTACAAGCGTCACATGTCGAACTGCATGCGTGCAAAAACTTTTCATTTAGAGCACAACCCACCCAGTTCAAACACTACTACTCTACCTAGTAAAGAAAATGTGCCTAATATGAACTCTAGTCAGTTAAATCATATCTCTCCACCAATAATGGGAAACACTGTGAGTAATGCACCGCAAATGCCATTTAATATGCAATATGCCCCTGGGGTAGCCAGTGGTCAAATGGTTGATATGGTACGCAGCATGTGGGGTGGTAACACCATGATGTATTTGCCCCAGACCTCCCAAGGTAATATCAATATGGGTCAGAATATGGTTCAGTCTAATCAACCCAATGCAATGGTTCAATCTGGTCAAGGGATCCCTAACAACATGGTATCAAATACAATGGGAATTTCCATACCTACTCAGCCTGTTAATATGCCATTTCCATATGCCCAGCAATTTGATATTCCTGGGAATCTTATTCAAATGCAACCACCATATGCTATGAATTCTGCAATATCTCCTTTAATACAGAACCCGGCTACAAATCTCATTAATCAAGGTATCATCCAAGGACCTGGTGGTAATGTACCCAGTGAACCAAGTCCTGATACGTCTGAATATGAACCAGCTAAAAAGGATTGCTGCCCTCATTGTAATAAGAAAATAGTTGGTGTTAAACGACTGCAGAAACATATCCGGAAATCACACAAGGAGATCCTATTTCTGCCGGGATATCGGAGCAAGCAGCTCCAGAATAAATCTGATACGGCGATGCCCATACCTAACAGCCCATACAAAGAGTATCACTGTTTACATTGTAATATTAACTTGAAGGGACGTAGTATTTATATGGAACATTTAGAGATTGAGCATGGGAATTTACAATTTGGTGCGCAAAAGAAAAACCCATCTTGCTGTTTTTGTGATTTCAAATCCACAACGGCTTGTAAATATAACATTGGTCTGATTTTCACGAATCATTTACGACAAGTGCATTTGAAGTACAAGCCATTCTTCTGTCCTCTTTGTGAGTATTCATCTTCAGTTCCAACCTGCGTGACTAGTCATCTACGACTGAAACACAAAAGTAATAAGACGTATATCACCTCTAAAGATCCTCTCAAAGAGAAAGAATTTCAAATTGCATTGAATATGACCATTAAAGAACTCAAAGATAATTCCAAAAAGACAAATGAGAGTGTGAAAAAGTCAAATGATAGCAGTATCAGCAGGTCTACAAAAGCACTTGATTCTGACTCAGATGCCTCAACCATACCAGGAGATGATGATGCACAAGAAAAACAAAGCGCTTTTGTCTGCTGTTTCTGTTCTTTGAAAACAAACATGGATAGTTCATTTAGTCTGCAGAAGCATTTAATGAGAAATCATCTGATGATTAATGGGCACTGTGATTACAGACCATACAACTGTCCTTATTGTATCTACAAGTCATCAACAAAATCAAACACAACAAACCATGTGAGAAAAGTCCATCCAAGCCAGAGAGTCACATTTGTATATAACAGGCTACGCAAGAAAGAAAAAGAAGTAGAAGAAGCTCTGAAGAAATCGAGAAACAAGAAGTTAAAATTGAAAAAAAATTATTCTACACCACCAGAACCAAAGCGGCGTCCTCCAGGTAAACGGAGACTTAGGTCTGGTAAGAGCTACCTCGAGGCTGTAATAGAGTTTTCTTCTTCAAGCGATGACAATGAGATTAATCTACCTGTTAAAAGGGTACTAAGATCTCAGGTGGGTGATGACACCAAGGATTTTGTACCTTTACCGCCATCTCCAAAACGTTTAAGATCCCATGATGAGAAACAGTCTGTTCAGAGTAATCCTCACATAACGAGATCATCAGAGAAAGGGAGCCATATATTTCATAGTAATAAATCTGCACCAGGTAGTAACAAATCCCAAACAGAAAGTAACAAATCTTCAGCAGGTAGTAACAAATCTGCAACAGGTAGTAACAAATCCTCTACAAATCCTCCAATAACAACCAGAAACAAGGTTTCAGTAAGAGACAAACCACATAGAACCACAGGGGAAAAGATAAATGTTACATCACAATTGAAAACAAGGTCAAGTGAAAAACAGAGTACGAAACTTGGAGGTATATCTCCTAAAGACCAGCACAATATCTCAAGTGGGAAACAAAAGAAAACAAAAGAATACGCAGAATCTCTTGCAGAGAGATTAAGAGGAAGGACCGAAGTTCCCAGACACAAACATGAAGCATCATTGCATGTTGGTGTTGCAAAAGCTGCGAAGAAAAGACAGAGAGAACCAAGTTCAAGCACATTGGAGAGTTCGTCTGAGGAAGAAGAAGCATGCACATATTATTGCTTCAAGAAAGATTGCACAAGAACCTTTCAGTATCCATTCAATTACAAACAGCACATACAATCCCATCTGAAATACAAACCATACATGTGTAGAGCTTGTGACTTTACAGCTTTGAACAAATCTGGCCTCGTGACGCACATAACGTATCTTCACCAGCATAGAAAGGTTCAGTATTGTATGAGTATATCAAGGGATACAAAAATTGAAGCACGAATAGACCGACTTGTCGTAAAAGGGAAAAACAACCCTCCAGATCCAGACTCAGACAATACGAAAAAGCAGAAAATGTCTCCCAAAAATGCTCCATCCCTTCCCCGAACTGTAGGCCTGTTAAAGAAAACAGAACTTGAACAACTGAAGGTGACTACCAAAACCAAAACAGCCCAGCCTAAGGTTGTCCAAAGGAAATTTACAGTGAAATGTTGCTATTGTAAACACAATGCAATAAGCGCTGATACTCTCAAAGCTCATCTTAGGTTACATCTAAAATACAAGCCATATGAGTGCAAACTTTGTGATTTTAGCTCAGGATATATGTTGACTGTATCCAATCACATAAAGGTAGAACATGCCAATGTGAAACACGCCTCTGTAATTCTTAACCGAGATGCCGATAAGGAAAAGGAGTTCCAAAGAGCATTAAATGCATCTTATGATGCATTGCAAATTGTTCTTCCAAAGGACAAAAAGAAGATTGGACCACGATCTAGAAAAAACAAGATAGCTGAAGACTGCTCTGATCCGGGAGAATCAATTCAGCAAATCAATTGTTACCATTGTGCTTATAGAAATGAGTCCCCTATTGCATTTGTAGTTCATTTAAGAGAACACAGATCATCTGTCAATGCTGAAGCAGATGTCACGGTGCATTTGAATCCAAAAGTAAGACTTCGAAAAATTCACACAGGCCGTGAAGATATTAAGAAATTATTAATTGCTAATGCTGCAAAAGTCTCACCAAAGAGAGAAGGTAGAGATAGCCCCAGGTCAAAAAGCATAAGTATTTGTGAACCACTTGGAAAAGAATTCTCGGTAAAATCTGATGCATTGCCTTTATCTCCGCTAAGGTCAAGAAGTGATTCAAATGATACAACCAAAGCTAATGAAGAGATGACCTTATTTTCATCATTGAATCTAAAGTCTAAGGATAAAGACATCCGTAATACAAAGTTTTATATCTCTGGTCTGATAAATTCTGATGATGAAACAGAATCTAAAGGTGAATTCAAATTTGAATCAGAATCTACAGATAATTTGACTGGTAATACCAAAGTTCAAATAAAAAAGGACAATATCGTGGAACAACAAAACCTAAAAGAGTTTAAAGTAAGAGACAACAATGTACCTAAGTCTATAGAAAAAAGCAACATTAAGGAAGAGAGCCTGACAAAACATGTAATTGAACCTAATATGGAAAGAGTGCAGGACTCCTTGTGTCAAGAGAAAGTTACAACAAGTATTGGCAAAGATTGTCAGTTAACAACTAAAGATGTTGAACAGTCATTAGAATTAAATAAAGAATATATCAAGGAAGAAGCAGATGTCAAAGAAAAAGGAGATATCCATGAAAATGTAGATGTTATAGAAGCACTTAATGTTAAAGAATATGTCAAAGAAAAACCAGATGTCAAGGAAGAATTAGTTGTTATTGAAAAAACAGATATCAACAAAGAAGAGGATCTCAAAGAACAATATATGCTACGAGATTCAAATACCAAAGAAGAACCAGATGTCATAGAACAACCAAATGCCAAAGAAGAACCGGAACTCATAGAAGTAGGAGATATAGAAGAAGAACCAGATATGATACAAGGTTCTATTGTCAAAGGAGAACCAGATGTTCCAGAAGACAGAAATGGCAAAGAAGAGACAGAACTGGTAGGAGGGGATATTAAAGAGGAACTATGTGGAATAGAAGAAGCAGATGCCAAACAAGTACCAAATGTCATGGAAGAAACTGATGTCAACAAAGAAGCAGATGGCATAGAACAAGCAGATATGAAAGAAGAAAAGTACTATTGTGTGGAAGAATGTATGAATGTAAAAGAAGATGTCAAAGAAGAAATAAATGTTCAAGAAGAAATAGATGTCCAAGAAAACATCAAGCTTAAACCACATGGCAAAGGAGAAAAATATGACAAAGAAGATTTAGATTTCAAAGAAAAGGTAGATGCCAAAGAACCAGATGTCATACGAGAATCAGATGTTAAGCAAGATGCAGAAAGTTCATCAGAAGTAAAAACACAAAACGTAGAAATAGTAAAGGACACTTTAATATGTTCATCAGAAATAGTAAAAGAAGATACAGAATATTCATCAGAAATAGTAAAGCAAGATACAGAATATGTAACAGAAAAAGTAAGGGAAGAAACAGAATATCCATCAGAAATAGTAAAGGAAGTTACAGGATATTCATCAGAACTAATAAAGGAAGATGAATGTCTATCGGATATGGGAAAGAAAGAATGTGATTCCTCATCAGAACTGATAAAGAAAGCTACAGAATATCCATCGGAAATAGATAAAAATTCAGAATGTCCATCCGAAGTAGTAAAGACAGATGCTGAGTGTCCATCAAAAGTAATAGAAGGAAGGAGAGAATGTTCATTTGAAGTAAAAATGAAAAATACTTATTGTCCAATAGATATGAAAAAGGAGGTTACTGAAAGCCCAACAAAAACAGTAAAAGAAGATATAGAATGTACATCGGAACTAGTTATGGAAAATACTGAATATCCATCAAAAAGAATAATAGAAAATACAGAATATCATTCGGAAAAAGTAAAAGTAGATACTGAATGTTCACCAAAAATAGTAAAAGGAGATAATGAATGTCCAAAATGGGAAGTTGGAGTAAAGGAAGATACTGAATGCCCACCAAAAGGATTAAAAGAAGGTACTGAATGTTCACCAAATATAGAAAAGAAAGATACTGAATGTTCACGTTCACCAAATATAGTAAAGGAAGATACAGAATGTTCACCAAATATAGAAAAGGAAGATAATGAATGCTCACCAAGTGTAGTAAAGGAAGATACTGTGTGTTCACCAAATGAAGTAAAGAAAGATACCAAATGTTCAAATATAGTAAAGGAAGATACTGAATTCCCACCAAAAGGAGTAAAGGAAGATACTGAATGTTCACCAAATATAATAAAAGAAGATACTGAATGCCCTTCAGAAGGATTAAATGAAGATAAAGAACGCCGATCAGAAGGAGTAAAGGAAGATACTGAATGCCCATCAGAGGTAGTAAAGGAAGATACTGAATGCCCAACAGAGGTAGTTAAGGAAGATACTGAATGCTCATCAGAGGTAGTAAAGGAAGATACTGAATGCCCACCAGAAGGAGTAAAGGAGGATACTGAATGTTCACCAAAACGAGTAAAGAAAGATAGTGAATGCCCATCAGAAGGAGTAAAGGAAGATACTGAATGCCCATCAGAAGGAGTAAAGGAAGATACTGAATGCCCACCAGAAGGAGTAAAGGAAGATACTGAAAGCCCACCAGAGGTAGAAAAGGAAGATACTGAATGCCCATCAGAGGTAGTAAAGGAAGATATCGAATGCCAACCAAAAGGAGTAAAGGAGGAGTCTGAATGCCCACCAGAAGGAGTATATCAGAGCCCATTAGAGGTAGTAGAGGAAGATACTGAATGCCGGTCAGAAGGAGTAAATGAAGATACGGAATGCCCACCAGAAGGAGTAAAGGAAGATACTGAATGCCCACCAGAAGGAGTAAAGGAAGATACTGAAAGCCCATCAGAGGTAGTAAAGGAAGATACTGAATGCCCATCAGAAGGAGTAAAGGAAGATACTGAATGCCCACCAGAAGGAGTAAAGGAAGATACTGAAAGCCCATCAGAGGTAGAAAAGGAAGATACTGAATGCCCATCAGAGGTAGTAAAGGAAGATACCGAATGCCAACCAAAAGGAGTAAAGGAGGAGTCTGAATGCCCACCAGAAGGAGTATATCAGAGCCCATTAGAGGTAGTAGAGGAAGATACTGAATGCCGGTCAGAAGGAGTAAAGGAAGATACGGACTGCCCACCAGAAGGAGTAAAGGAAGATAGTGAATGCCCACCAGAAGGAGTAAAGGAAGATACTGAAAGCCCATCAGAGGTAGAAAAGGAAGATACGGAATGCCCACCAGAAGGAGTAAATGAAGATACTGAAAGCCCATCAGAGGAAGAAAAGGAAGACACTGAATGCCCATCAGAGGTAGTGAAGAAAGATACTGAATGCCCACCAGAAGGAGTAAAGGAAGATACTGACTGCCCTTCAGAAGTAGTAAATGAAGATAAGGAACGTCCATCAGAAGGAGTAAAGGAAGATACTAAATGCCCATCAGAGGTAGTAAAGGAAGATACTGAATGCCCATCAGAGGTAGTAAAGGAAGATACTGAATGCCCATCAGAGGTAGTAAAGGAAGATACTGAATGCCCATCAGAGGTAGTAAAGGAAGATACTGAATTCCCACCAGAAGGAGTAAAGGAAGATACTGAAAGCCCATCAGAAGGAGTAAAGGAAGATACTGAAAGCCCATCAGAGGTAGAAAAGGAAGATACTGAATGCCCACCAGAGGTAGTAAATGAAGATACTGAATTCCCATCAGAGGTAGTAAAGGAAGAGACTGTATGTCCATTAGAAGGACTAAAGGAGGATACTGAATGTTCACCAAAACGAGTAAAGAAAGATAGTGAATGCCCACCAAATAGAGGAAAGGAAGATACTGAATGCCCATCAGAAGGAGTAAAGGAAGATACTGAATGCCCACCAGAAGGAGTAAAGATAGATACCGTATGTTCACCAAGCGAAGTAAAGGAAGATACCGATGTTTAGATATAGTAAAGGAAGATACTGAATGCCCATCAGAGGTAGTAAAGGAAAAGACTGAATGCCCACCAAAAGGAGTAAAGGAAGATAATGAATGCTCACCAAGTGTAGTAAAGAAGGATACAGAATGTTCACCAAATATAGGAACGGAAGACACTGAATACCTATTATCAAAAGGAGTAAAGGAAGAGACTGAATGCCCACCAGAGGTAGTAAAGGAAGATACTGAAAGCCCAACAGAAGGAGTAAAGGAAGAAACCGAATGTCCACCAAATATAATAAAAGAAGATACTGAATGCCCTTCAGAAGGAGTAAAGGAGGATACTGAATGTTCACCAAAAGAAGAGACGGAAGAGACTGGATGCCCATCAGTAGAAGTAAAGGAAGTTACTGAATGCCCACCAAAAGGAGTAAATGAATATACGGAATGTTCACCAAATATAGAAAATGAAGATACCAAATGTTCGCCAATGGTAGTAAAGGAGGATACTGAATGCCCACTTAAAGGGGTAGAGGAGAATACTGAATGTCCACCAAATATCGTAAAGGAAGAGACAGATTGTTCATCAAACATAGTAAAGGAAAATACCATGTGTTCACCAAATGTAATAAATAAAGATATTGAATCAACACCAAAAGGAGTAAATGAAGATAGTGAATGTTCAACAAATGTAGTAAAGGAAGATGAATGCCCAACAAAAGGAGTAAACAAAGATACTGAATGTTCACCAAATATAGGAAAGGAAGATACTGAATGCCCAACATAAGGTGTAAGGAAGAAGGAGAGTTTTCATTGAATCTACCCAATGTAGTAAAGGAAGATACAGAATTTCAGTGCATGTCAAAGTGCTATAAAAGATTGATAACTTCTTCAAATATTGTGTTCATTTATACAGACAGTATATGAATTGGATTGTAACTTTGTTTCATTTGAATGTTTTTCTACATGGCATATGGTAGCATGAATATTAACATATTAAAGCGTGTTAATCTCACTTTTAGAAGGTAGATTTACAATGTGGTATTTTCAATACAGTAAATGAAAACGTTTTGTATGTTGGCCAGGGTGGATCAAAGCTTGGCATTTTGGAAGAGACGAAATCATTGTACATGCATATTTAAATATTAATAGGACCTAGTCTTTTAAATGGTGCCCATATGCTTTTAATGAGTAGTTTCATAACAATACTCAGTCCCCGCATTGTGTTCAGATAACGTTTTACAAATGTACGTATGTAGCTAGTATTATAGTCATTTAGTAGTATGTAGTAGTATTCGACCTTAATGTGTCAAAAATGTAAAAGTTCATTGATACCTCTAAGCTTGTAAAACATGAAATTATTAATTGGGAGCTTCAGGAAATGCTGAAGATACAGTATACTGTGATTTCCACATTCTAGTTTTGAATTTCTGTCATTAGTGTCATTAAACATGTTAAACATGACAAAATTAAGGGCTACATCTTTCAAGTTCCTTATGTAAAACTATAAGCTGCTAAAACTGAATAAAGAAGCTCTCAACTAATGTTTAACGCTTAAAGGAGTTTTATCAGTATTGTACGAATATACATGTTTATATACTATTATATATTTTTGTAATCATATAATGGAACCTAGTATGAGTGTAGTTAATAGTAACCATGTGATTTAGCTGTTTTTAAAATTGTACATTTTGAAAATTGGCAAAACTTTAAAGTTAGTATTCCGTGAAACTCCTAAATATTTTATCAAAATTAACATGAGTATGAATATTCAGACACGTATAGAAATACGAAGTCATTATTCTGTTAATATAATATAAATAATAACAAATTGTTATTGAAATTTAACAAATATTTGTTAGAAAGTTGCTCTTCCTTGAAACTCCAAATATGTGAGGAATACTTAACCTGTTAACACATGTAACATGAGTATGAATATTTAGACAAGTATAGAAATACGAAATCATTATTGTATCAATATGATAAATCACACAGTGTTATGATATAGAGTAAATAAATAAAATGCTTATTATAACTGTATATCCTCTCTCATCTGTTTCAAAATACACAAACACTGCAAAAGTGCAAAATGAAGCATGTTTCATCCACGTGGCGTCAGCATACGATCTAGATGAAATATGTGTTAGTCTGCAAAAATCATCCATATCATTGTTTTGTCCCACCACAAGTGGTGACATTGTTATAGTCTAAACCTTTTTGTGACGGCGTTCGGCGTCTGAATAACTGAATTACTTCAACTGTTTACTCATGTTACATGGTGCTTTCTGGCGGCCATTTTGGAGGTTTTTGATTCTTTTCATCGCGAGGAAAACCACGTAACGAAATTACTTCAATTTTTTACACGTGTTACATGGTTACAGAAGTTCTAAGAGCTGATTAACCTTTAGGCGGCCATCTTGCTTTCTGGCGGCCATTTTGGAAGTTTTAACGAAAAACCACTAAATGGAACAAATTTTTACACATGTTACATGGTAAGAAGTAGGCCTAACCTTTCGGCGGCTTTTTGTGTCAACAAGCCAAGAGTGCTATAGCAAATATATATTTTAGGTACGATATTGTTCACCTTGTGCCTTGTTGGGCAAAAGGTCGGAACCAGAATTTTTTTGATTCTTTATGATTTGACGATAGACAAAATAAACAATCGATACATCTTCTTTTCTGAGGTCAAAGCTTAAATCTCTTCACTTAGTATTGAAAGTCCTCACCTAGTTTTGAAAGATCTCACATATTATTGAAAGACCTCATCTAGTATTGAAAGACCTCCCCAGTGAAAATTAATCCCACCTACATGTATAGTATTGAAAGTTACATTTCATTGTGAAATGAATTTATTAGGGTTAATTAGGATGAGAATTACAACAGCTTGCCTTTTAAGTTACTTTTTTGCTCAATTCGCATTTGTGCTGTCGTTTTTATCAATTATGAATGAACTTATTATGAATGGACCTTCGTTATATTCAACTACAAAGCTTCCATATTCTGTTTTGGTCAAACTTTAACATGATTCGTAAATATACATTATTTATATGAGTTATATAACACGTCCTACTGTAAGTCACATGCCAACAAAAGCAATTTCCCGTCGTTCAATTAACGAGTTGTTTTATCACTCTTTGGAATTAGCTGCCGTGCTGACTGATATTACCTCATTTACTGATACTATTTTCTGCAATGTGGCTGGGGTATCGGAGATGTAATATAGCGCTAGGTTGAGCTGTTTATCGATGGAACTGGAATATTGAACGGGGTTCTGGCAGTAGAACTCTGGAGAATATTGATCGCGTAATATGTGAGGAAGAATTATAAGTAAGTGGAACCTAAAAGAATTCTCCAAATGGAAGGCGGCCTCATCAAACCGGCGCTCTGTGCTTGCTGTATTACAAAAAACTAGGATTTATCTGGGGTCTCGATCGTGTTCTTTATGATGGTTTATCGTGAGTGTTTAGCATAGTTGAGTCATCGCAGACTCCATCAGATGCTGATGCGCCGTGATTGAAATAATTCTTACCCAAATGGAAGGATTGTTTACGCGTTGAACACAAGCCTAGGCCTACTACTACTAGGACTCTCATCATCACAAACTTCCAAGCCCATTGAGGGTTAGCTTTATATTAATATGGGTAACGAAGAAAGTCACGGAATGGAAGGAGGCGGTGAGGGTATGTCTGGTGCGGGGTCAGGAACGGGATACCCAACTGCTGGAAGCTTCAGCGAACGACCTGGGCCTGGCTCCAGTTTTGCAGGAAGTGTTGGAGGAGGGGATAGAACACCCGCATCGGAACATCCTTCTGAACACCGCTCTATAAGTCAGTATTCCATGGGTTCTCGGCGCTCATCTGCTGGTTCATCGATAGGATTTGTGGGCATAGGGGCACCTGACCCCGATATGAGTCATCTAAGTGAAGACGAGAAGTCTCAGATCGCTGCCGTAATAGCAAGGGCCAGAGAAATGCAAGAACTGGAGGAGCAAAGAGTAAGGTAGGTCATACATCAGACACCCTTAAATGCCACAGACAACGAAAGCCATAAAGGTCACATATACAAAATGGTTAACAAAGAATTATCATTCGTGAATCTTTCTCTTTTATCAGTCATAGTTACATAAACGTGAAGTAAATTCTATCATCGCAATCAAGAGCAAAGGCATATTGTGGGAGAATCTATGAGAGAATAATTTGTCACATAATCAATTGCGATCAATGGCCTCTGATGGATTATCTTCAAATTCCAACGATCTTACAAACTCTTTCAGAGCACAGTGCCAATATTTTATCCAATACTCTTCTTGTGAATGTTGATCTAAAAGCCGATTCACTCTGAATAATGAATATGTATGAATCATCTCATGTCAAAGTGTCCCCCACTCTATTTAGAAAATGATGCTATATGTTGATTCTATCATTGATGGTTCAACATCTTATAGCATCTCAAAGATCCAACACGAGATACTCAGTAGTATCGTTTGGATTGCATTATGGGGTAGTTTGGTTAGCTAGTACCGTTGGGTAGTTTGGTGGAATAGCACCATGGGGTTGTTTGGTTAGCTAGTACCATTGGGTTGTTTGATTGGATAGCACCATGGAGTTGTTTGGTTAGCTAGTACTGTCGGGTTGTTTGGTTTGAAAGCACCATTGGGTTGTTTGGTTATCTTGTACCGTTGGGTTGTTTGTGGTTGGATAGCACCATAGGGTTGTTTGGTTAGCTAGTACCGTTGGGTTGTTTGGTTGGATAGCACCATGGAGTTGTTTGGTTAGCCAGTACCGTGGAGTTGTTTGGTTGGATAGCACCATGGGGTTGTTTGGTTGGCGAGTACCTGTGGGTAGTTTGGTTGGATACTGGATAGTGCCATGTGGTCATTAGGTTAGCTGGTACCGTTGTAGGGTTTCGTTGGGTAGCACCAAGAGGTTGTTTTGATCACTACAGTAGTTAGTAAAGTTTAGTTGAGTACCACAACGGGGTTGTTTTGTAAAATAGTGTCATTGGGTTGTTTAGTTGGATAACATCATGGGGTTGTTCGGTTTATTAGTACTGTGTTGCGTTGTTTAGTTGAGTATTCCAATGAGGTGTAGTTGGATTATTTTGTATTGTTAGGTTGTCTGGTTGGGTACCACCGTGAGGTTGTTGGGTTAGGTGGTATCGTTGGGCTGTTTGGTTTAGACACACCAGATGGTTGTTTGGTTAGTAGATCCTCTGGGTTGTTTGGTTGGGTAAGTATTATGGAGTTGGAAGCGGCAGAACGTGGATATGGAGACATAAGGCCTAAATTTAGTCTAAAATTAAATACACTTTGCAACGATTTGCTTTGGTCACACCGCAAAGTGATAACGTATGAGCTAGGAGGAAATTAGATGCCTAATCGTAGCAATTAATGTGTATTTGTTTCAACGAACACTTTGTCATAATCAACGCTCTCGTCATACGGGAACGTCCGATCAATGTACATTTTCTCATGGGGTAGAACTCCATGCATACACTGTCTGAACACAATACACAGTTATTAATGCACCCCATGGACCAAAAATCAATTATTCACAATGCTATACAGTGGTAAGGCTTCACATCTAAACAAGCTTCGCGGAGTAGATAATTATGCACAGATCATATTAGTCGCTGAGATATCCTTCAACTGAATCCAATAAACCTCTATTATATTAGTTCGGAACACTTCCCCTCATTTACAAAAAAGTACATCCTCGCACATCTGTATAATATTCAATTTTCTAAGGTTGATTAATCTGTTAATTTGGAACCTGAGTATTCTCTATTTCGAATGTGCAATTTCAATACTAGTTAATTAAGTCCTGTCAATACCAGAATATCATGCAATCTTAAACCGCCTTTTCAAGGAAACCTTCTATTGTTTTGTTGACTGATATATTCGATTTTAATAAGAATTTTATGTCTGCTGACGTCAGTACTTATAGAACACACGTTAGTTGACTAGATTTGACAATCTCTGAAATCGTTGCGAAGTGTTGTATCGGCCAGAGGGAAAGAAGAGAAATTATTACATATTAAAAATTGATCATTTAGAAGATATTTAATCCTCTTTAACTTGGCGATGGCGAGTAAAGGGTGAGTGCGAGTGGGGAGGGAGCGGGGGCTATTAAAACTAAACGGATATAGTATAGAAGCACCCATTCAGAAAATAAGGATAATTGGGCTCTTCAACTTGGCCCCAAAAATCATATAATATGATGTTTCGTAGATTCTCAAAAATCTCCAAAAGCAGTTCGTTCGTTGTATACCGGTGTGAAAGAAATGATGGTCCCCCAGGGATTATGGTCACCTTTCTTAACGGCCCTTACTGGCCCTGATTGTGTATAAGATAATGAGGGAACGAGTTGTATTTAGGTCACCATATAAATCAATGGAGAGTAGGACCATAATTTGAGAGGACCTCCTACCCTTTTACACCGGCTTACAAAAACTCACTCTTGAGAGAAGGATTGAGGTTCGATTGATCTGAAAAGAAATGTTAGGAGATTGGCAGATTCTGCTTCCATTACCAAGTATCTGATAGTCTTACCACATTATCAACGACTGCTTAATTATATGCCATATGACCATGGCTCGATATAATCGATTTGACTCTTGGTTAATGATGTTATATAGGGCTACTGGGAAGTGGGAAGTAAGTTACAGAAACAAAGCAATTTTATATTAAATGAGATGTGAGTTGTGCTCTGCCTTTGATGACAATCTAAAAATATCTCCTATATGAGAAACATTCCAAAACATGTCAATGAATGATCAACTGTGATCAAGCTGCAAGTTTTAATTTGACAAAAGAATAATCTCGCCTTGAATGACTGTTCAGCTCAGTCGAGTTTTTGTTTTGCAGATTGGAATTCGAAACGAAAATGGGCATTTAATCATATTCAGCATTCTAGTTGTTTCATGTCTTTCGTCATGCAGCGGGTACGGTTGTAGGTGATAGCGTAGAACTGTCTAATACGACACTGTGAAGTCGTTCTAGGAAAAATAAAGAATGACTTCTAGCTCTGCAACGTCCTTGAATGCACAACGCATTGATATAGCCTACTGTACTATGGCAAATAATAGCTTCTACAATAGATTAAGGGTCTGAGCTTTATCAAGGCTTATAATTCATCAACATTCATTGGAATGGCTCTCTTACGGAAACGTTCATTGAAGCTGTCGTTAAATTCCGAAGAAATCGGACCCTATGGTCCTAAATCTTTATCTTATCTAACAGGACATCCTGAATTAAGAGATCGTTAAATGTGTGTTTTAATTGGAGGAACCCAAAGGCGAAAACACTCGATTAATCATTTAGAGAACACTCGAAGAAAAGGGTACGCGAGCAGGTTCATTTTCTCTGAAAATTGCTTTCATATATTCACGATTATAGAATGGGAAATTGGAAAACAGGAAAAGGATCAATACCCTTGCATGTTCATTGCTAGGTCTTGTGGGTTAGTTTCTTTTAGCAGAGGAAGCAATTCACCATTACAATTGAATTGAAAATTATTCAGCATCATTTTCTTGACAGTTACACTCACGAAATTATGACGTTTACAAAACTTGCGCTCAGGAAATGATAACGTTTTCCATCGGATATATAATTTTTTGTTAGCTTTTGTAAATTACTTTAACAAATAAAACAGACTGGTATAAATAGTACTTTATTCGTTATTATAGTATCCTGTCTCTGATCTAGTTTGCCAAGAAAGTAAATAAGAATTTCTTATAAACCAAACAAGAAGGTATAGTATAGGAAAAAACGAACGACAGCGCGTACCTTGAAATTAAATGACCTTTTTTGTTCATGGTCTCAAACAACAGAGTTATACAAAAACAGAGCATCTTCGTTCACTCGACTCCCAATCAGTCCGATTGCAATGAAAATGGAAACAGTATTGTCCTGATGTTTCACGCCTCCACCAGTTCGTTTAATTGAGGATGGTAGTTGGTTGTTGTCATCGCCAGTTACAAATAAATAAAGTCTGTAGCTAACAAGGATCAAAGCCGATTCAATTAACTCCAAACTAATGTCATAATTAGATTTATTCAATTCCACACTTGACTTATATGTCTGCGGTCATTTCCTTTAATGTCGATCACCATGGTTACCACCATTCGTAAGATTTGTAAGAGGGCTTTCAAATATCAACGGTTTTTTTTTGTTGATTCATTGATTTTGTACACACTAAGCTCAAATTTATTATAAAAATCAGTCGACATTGTTTTACTTAGCAATTCTAAAAGGGACTTTCAACGACTGAGTTCTGCCGATCACAGCTGGTTTTACGACCAGGAGCCAATGGCGATAAGATCGGATGGCTGTTTAGGTCTATTGAGATCAACACTTCTCTAATTATGAACACCTCTCAATGCGTACACCTTTTCGGTCTCATGTTTTGTCTGCCGTAAAATTCTATGGTAAAAAAACTTGAAATGTGAACACCTGCCAACTTGAACACTTTGTCCGGTTGCACTAGTGGCGTTCGGATCCGATAGGTTTTACATTATGTTCCGTTTTACAGTTAATAGACAAAGCTCGGTCGATAAAGGGTATAGGGGTATAGATCGGATTAAGACGTGTTAAGGGCAACCTTTTAAAATATGTTACAATCTTTTCTTCCGTTCAGTCATCATAACATGGCTATTTTCCAAGAGTTCTTCAACTCGTTTCTCTCTAGGTTATTTGATAATGATTACGAAATTTGACAGGGAGTCAATATCAGTTCTAATTTGGCTATTTCTACATCACCAATCTTTGATTAATACTTGATAATTGATCAAGTATTCCAATTTTATTCAGATCCCATTTGAGATTAACATATTTTTGAAAATTTTGTTTTCATAATTTTACCATTTGCTGCCTCTCGGCTACGCCATCGATTTAAGAAGTTTTGTGAATCGATGATAGAAAACATCAATTTATTGATTGACGATAATAAACAGTAATTGTTAGGGGGCGAGGGGTTAAAGGTTTTCTTTCGTTTGCTTGGTGTTAATGGATTTTTAACAAAATACAGGATATTTGAATAAATGTAGAACTCACCCGCGGGAAATGTTATATGATGTAATCCCGAGTGTTCACATTTCATAATTTACAAATGCAAATCAATTTTTTCATCAATCAAGAAAGGGGGTATATCCAGAACATTATCAACTTAATTTTTGTCATAAGTCTGTTTGCACGCTCCCTTATAAAATTACTAACTTGATTGGACCCTAATCTTGCAAGGAATTGAATTGGTTTCTTGAAACATCTTCGGCCATCTTCGTGATACCGAAGATGGCCGAACATGCTTTTACTGCAATCGAATATGGCCGAAGATCTTATCCTCACCCTGCAAGGAATTTGATTGGTTCCTAGAAGCTTCGGCCATTTTCGTAATATAAACATCACCGGTAGTGACGCATCGGTGCTTTTTCATTGCAGCTGCTAAGAGAAAAGGTTGCTGAGAATATATTAAACTAAGCTACTAAATATCTATGATTTTGATTTTGCATGGTCATCACCATCATGATAAACGATGACATCTCGATCATTTCTTTTCAGCCCTGAGATGTGTCAGGTGAAACAGAAAGATGCTATGAGTATCCGAATGGGTCATAACAACATAAACAATTCATTAAAAAACATCTCAGGGATTTGAAATCGTGCAGTCTAGAAGGGTTATGATTAATATCTCCTTCGGGATACGATGAGTCCTTTAATGTAGAAGAATATTTAACTGCAGCACGAGATAGCCCAATCAAGCAAGCTAGCAACTACCAAAAGCAAACGGACATATAATATATGTATTAAGGCAGTGCAGTCGAGTGTGTTTGAATTACTAGAAATAAATTTAATATTTTCAATTCAGATATGAAAAACAACTACATGTCTCTCATTTTCTCATCTAGTAAATATACCTCTCATTTACATGAATCCATTTTTACAGGGAGATTAACGAAAACTATGGCGATGACTTCGACAGCCCTCTGCAGACACTTGCAACGTTAGAAAAAGCTAATATGGCCCTACATGCGAATGAGACGTACAGGTGCCCCATATGTCAGACCACTGAGCTGCGGGAGGATGAAGAAGGCAGGAGAAACGATCAAAATGTTTGTGTGTCATGCGAGATTCTCGTTTGTTCAGACTGTGGGTCGTTTGATCAGTCAAAAAGCACAAAGGTAAGTGTTGGTACATTCATCTATTAATATATTGATGTTTTAGAAGCGTAACTAAGCTTGTATTCGAGAATGCAACTTTCAGCTGTTAGCTACCGTATTAATCTATTAATTTTGAAGTTGATTTAACGACCAATCCGTTAGTTGACGAACAGTGATCGCATGCTTTTTATGCCTATGAACGGTCAATTATGATAAAACCGCTCGGTTTAATAAACGAACGGATCGCAGATTGACCCGTTATTTAGGTCAGCGATTGGGTTTGCCGCTATAGCTTGCAGCTACCGGAAAACACGGCAGGTAATATTCATATTTAAATGAGTTTGCCATCAACTTTCAATCAAGCCGCTAGCCGGTAGCCTAAAGTTGCATTCGCGAATACAAGCTAAGTAACTAGCCCATTATGCCAATCTTCGATGACATTAGAATAATATCTGATCGGCTAGATCAATTTCTTTTCTATTTTCAAATATATTTACCTCTACTGAGATTTTATTTTTCATCAAAATCTGAGTACACACTTTGGAATACTTTGCGTACATTGTCCAGTTACGACATTGCTTATCGATTTTTAGAATGAGGGTTATGGCAAGGGTTAAGTGTTCGTTTACTGTCCATTAACTTCATTGTGCCGTCCATAAATTCTCGTTAACAAAACATTGATGTCAATTTCGTATGATTTTATCCACTTTTATGCTACATTGGCTCTGTTAGATTGCAGAATGATTTCATCGTCCTCAGGCACATCTCATTTCATATCACTCACAGTTATACAGGGTGGGCCAATAAAATTATAGAAAATCACATTTTCTAGGAAAATCGGTAAATCTCGGACACATGAACAATTTACCAGTAATATTAACATCTGACAAAAAATTTGAAGTCAGTATAAGCTTAAGTATTTTAATGGTAAAATATGCCTATCCTTAAGTTTCTGTAAAAAAAATTTCATGTCAATACCATAATGTTATGTTACTTTTTTTGCCTTCTAAAAAGGTTGCAAAATTTTTTGGCCCACCCTGTACAAGTATATCGTTATCCTGGTTGGATAAATCCTTTGTATGGCCTACATGTAAGAGGGGGGATAATACCCAGAATTCAAAGATGAACTTATCTTCGTGTGTATGAATCCCCATTTCCTCACACAAAGTTATGATTGGACAAAGCCATTCTCATACTCCTGGGATCTTTCTGTTTCAACTGAAAAGAAATGTCATGGTTTATCATGATGGGACAAAGCTAAAAACGCAGAGTGCAAAATGGGAAAAACGACCACGAACGTGCTATTGTTTTGATGGATCATCATACCATATACGCTGTTTATGTCAAAGAAACCTCATTGACAGAGAACGTAGATTAGAAACTAGTTGATTCCATTTGAATTGTGTTAAATAACGGCATTACAGCAAACAAGTGCTGTAGATAAAAATGAATACAATCACACTTTAGTTACCCTGGGGAAATATCCAGTTTGTGCAGTTTCTGAAGCAACGGTACACTCGCGAGAGGTTACCAGGGCTCTAGTACAAAGCCTAGTACCCATGCGCAGGGATTTCAAAATTCCTGACATAGATACAGTATATTGTGTGTGTGTGGGGGGGGGGGGGCAATTGCGAACTCCCTGACGAGTAGATTAGGCAAACGACCATCATATCATATCAAACATCGAAACACAAAATGGTCACAAAAAGTTTTGAAGGAAAGCTATGATGAAAAAGCTATAAATGAAAAGTAGCATAATGACCCAGTTTAATTCAAAATGGCCGCTAAACAGCTGACAGGTACTTTAACATTACAGGTGCATGAAAAATACCAGATATCGTACTTAAGAAAAATGATAGAGGAAATGAAAATCAAAGAAAATATATATGAATGTTAATAATGTGTTAGTTTTCAAAAGTATCGAATCAATTACTAGTATGCAAAAACTATTATCGATTTTATGTCTTTTCATGTGCTAAGAGTGTGTTCCGACAGCCATTTTGGAATATTGACAACCTCCAAAAGGCGTCATTATAAAAATAGTTGCACAAACATGAACCCGTGTACTAATCCTTAAACTACGCTTTTTCATTATTGCACTAGCTTTGCCATGTCTTTAAATTTAGAAATACCTAAATACTTTCATTATATTTGCGCCCAAGCTTTCATGATCGTACACGTTACGTCCCTCTGGCTGCACATTGTGCTGAATCAATTTAAAACGGAATAAGGCCTTAACTACTTTTGGATGTAATTTTTACTTTTCTAAATCATCTACATGTACTTATATATGTTGCTAGGCGCTGTGTCTCAGTGTAATGAATAATGCAGCCTCATTTACCATTTTATAATTGCTAATTTTCAAAGATTCGCTCGTTATGCTAATAAGGAAAAATAGAAATTCCATCTTTTAAATTAATGTTATGGCAAGGAAGCTAAAATGTTTCCTTTCCATGTTTTGAGATCCTGTAATATATGCTAACACGTTCTTATCTCAATAGACCTAAACAGCCATCCGATCTTATCGCCATTGGCTCCTGATCCCGAGAGGGTTGGTTGTATATTGTCTAATCTAATAACCCTTTAGGACAATGTTTTTTTAGTTTCCAGAGACGTCTCATGTATCTCAGGACATTTGTCAATATGATAGGATTACGCTACCTATAGCCTTTGAAGGATATTATCTCATGGACCCAAGATGGTCTTATGCTAGTTTCAAAGCACATTGTATCTTGGTCGCTTGTATCTCAACTCATCTAGCTGGCTATTCAATAGACTAGATGCGAGTAGAAATAATCTTGATTTACGTCATTAAATATTCAAAATTCAGTCAAAGTGATGTCATATTTGAAATCTGCATGTAAAAGTACATCTAGAAATATGGTTTCGAAAATTGTCTATCAACTTTGAAAATTTAATTTTTTGGAAAATGTGACTTCTTGTTCGGGTTGATTCCCATAGACCCCATGTTACAAAATCACAAAGTGAATTATCTTGTATTGGACAAATAACATTTTCTTTTACTGGACATATTTTAATTTGCATAACTATTAGATAAGGGTTATATGAAAATTGAACCACGCAAATAGATGTAATTTAAGTTAAAGGTAACTTTCTACTATACCCGCCATGCTATCTGACCCGAACGAGCCATCTGGTGGTGAATCATATAACTACCTACTCGCATCTGCGTTATTCCCATACGGGCTATATTCAACGTATCGGTTACGCGTGGCTGCTAAACCACGTGGGACTCGGCACAGCGAAAGGGCGAACAAAAACGTCTATAAGAACACATAACAACACGGTGGTGATTTTCATAGCTGTCACAATGTCTGTACACACTCTGAAAATCCAGGTTTGTCACTATTTTAACTAAGCCAATTTGTAAGTTATATCATTTTTTAGGAGTACGGTACACTCAGGATGGGAAATGGTTGTGGTACGGTACCCTGCGTGCAGAGTCTAGTTAAAAGACGAAGCTCTCTTTGTGAAGTGAAGTCAAACGAATGCAAAGGGTATAGTGGTACGGCTTCACGCACGAGATTTTAACCGCGCATGTAACATACCACGTGACTAAGAACGATAAATTAGCTGATTTTTCCTTGCTCTTTCGTTTTACCATACCCAGTGCGTTCAGCAGCCACGCGTAAATAGGTACAGGGAGGTACAGTCGCTGTGATTTAGATGGTCTTCTGTATAGTCTTTTAGGGACAATGCCCCGAGGTCCTCGCGTGTATCTTTAGGCCAGTTGATGTTATTCAATCCTCTCCAATCAAGATATCATTCAAGTTGATTTACCACCCGTCTCTATAGGTCCATAGCAAGCCAAATTGGCATAATGTCGATTGGATTTTCACCATACTCCAAAGAAAATACATTAAATTACGCTACACCCTTATCGTATACCAAAACGGCTAATTCATAAATAATGTTCTTTGGAATATCATTTGGATATAATCGGGTATTCCAATGCTTGACAATGTCTGACTGCGCATGCCCACAAGAAACGTTTTCGGTCGGAATGTGTACACACCCTTTTTGTTATAATTTTTTCGATTACATTCCATGTTCCTGTGTAAGGACAGGCAGTAGGACTAAAAGGAATCGATGGCTAATGGACGGCTTCTATTTAACAGACGTATTTCCTTCATTGATTTTAGTTACTGGTTGTGGCTGTTAGTTAGTTTAAGATCAGACATTGATAAAGTATGAACGGGGATATTCGAAACACATTTTTGAACCGGCCGTTACCAACTAGTTTAGGTTTAGCATAAAGTCAATTCGATTTTAATGGTGAAAAACTATGAATATAATTTTCAGTGGTGAAAAACTAAAAAGAAGTCAAAAGATTTTCAATGGTGTAAAATATAAAATTTTCAATGGTGGCATATGATAAACAGATTTTCAATGGTGGCAAGGTTCAGTGAAGGAAATTTGATTTTCAATGGTGACAAAATCCAAGTATATTGACATACGCTGACCTTTACACTAAGCCTTTGTTGCGTTATATTACGACCACGTTAATTTTGATTTGTTATCTACTTTTTTGCAAGTCTTAAAATTCACGTCCTTGACTCCTTTTCCAAAGCTCATTTTACCTTCACGGTGGTAATTTCCAATCGAGAATTTAATGTAATTACCTACAACATTAAGCTAATCCCGGCTATTAATCAAACTTCGTGATCTAACTCTTAGCCGATATCAGACTGTTAAAGGCTCTTCTGTAACTCATTTCTTTATTTGATATTAGAGTTAAAGGATCGCCTTCAGCTCATCACTTTAATTGTTTGTTTTAAGACAGTCAAACGCTTGTCCTCGATTAAACGGCTTATATACACACCGTAACACCCTGACAACGGTAAAATCAGATACCGTTGTCCCAAATGGCGGACGTAATCGTCGCTTTAACTCTTAAATCACTTGGTTCTCATTATAAGGGACCTTATCGTCGCTGATTCTGTGCATGTATTAATCTTTAAATAACGTGTATTATATGAAATCCCAATTCCGATCAAATGTGGTTGCGAATCGCCACAATATGCTGTCTTCCATATCATCAATGACAACAGAATCTGAATTTCAAATAATTACTGGAGAAAGGATAGATATATGATTATTTTTCTTACACGGTATCCGTTGTCCCGTGTCATAGTTTGATCGGTAAAATTAAAGGCTTATTCCTATGGTAGAACATATTTAACTATACGATGAGTAGAAAGACACTTTGATTGATTGTTGGATTGATGAATTTAATCTAGGTGCAGATATTAAACATGTAGTTAATGAAAATCAAATTGAAGCTGTGGCCGCCATTAGTGACAACGGTATCTGACTTCACTGTTGTCAGGGTGTTCCGATGTGATATTGACGATTAATGGTATTTGAAGAGAGATAAATGTCATCCTCTTTAGTTAAAACACAAACAGTTTAAATGATCACATCCAACTCAAATGGAATTATTAGTTGGGATGATGATACACTTGGTCGTAGTATGTATTCTCATTCAAATATACCCCAAGCAGAGAAAAAGTAACAATTCCACAATATATCTGGCACATATAGGCGACATACTAAGGGAAATTCAATTGAGAACATAATTTGGCTCATAAATGGTAATTTATGGCTTTTGACTGCGATGTTTGACATCCAAAACATCTCAATATTACATGTAGTTATATGCCTTTCAAGAATTCTGGAACGAAGGATGGGATTTGGACCAGAATTAATCATTCTAAATTGCTTTATGATTAAAGTCCCAGGGGCTAGCGCTGCACTTGAAAGCAATTTCAAATAAACCGATATCAATCAAATGCTCAGTCTCGATTCTGTGTTCCTTTGTTGACTAAATGAGATATATTCTTCAATTCATCTGTTGATCTTTTTACGTTTGTGTCCAAATGTGCCCCAGTGTACCGTTGCGATGTATCACTAAAATAGTACATCTGTCAGAGTTATTTCAGTGTGTGTATGTTTGCATATATGTTTATTTCCGAATGGACACAAATCGTGTGCAATGTTCTAATATTGTCCCCTTCGCCTTTTATTACGAAATATGACCTCCAATATTTAATATTTTTAGCTCCAAGAGTGGCTGTGCCACAGATGTAGAAAAGAGAGGTACCTGAAGACTGAGCGAGAGCAGAACGCGAGGACACACCAGGAACAAGTGCAGAGTAAGGAGTGCGATGAAGGAGGTTTATCTCAATTTGGTGTAAGTATTTTAACATGTTTACAACCGATCAGCGTGATTAATTTGTTTCGGTTTAGTGCCTGATAGGCCACGATCAATGTGGTTTGTTTCAGTTAAGTGCCTGTTGGTCTACCATCAATGTGGTTTGTTTCAGTTAAGTGACTGTTGGTCTACCATCAATGTGGTATGTTTCAGTTAAGTGCCTGTAGGTCTACGATCAATGTAGTTTATTTCAGTTAAGTACATTTTGGTCTACCATCAATGTGGTTTGTTTCAGTTAAGTGCCTGTTGGTCTATGATCAATGTGGTTTGTTTCAGTTAAGTGTCTGTTGGTCCACGATCAATGTGGTTTATGTCATTTAAGTGCCTGTTGGTCTACGATCAATGTGATTTGTTTCAGTTAAGTGCCTGTTGGTCTACCATCAATGTTGTTTGTTTCAGTTAAGCGCCTGCTTGTCTACTATCAATGTGGTTTGTTTCAGCTGAGTGCCTGTTAGTCTACGATCAATGTGGTTTGTTTCACTTAAGTGCCTGTTGGTCTACGATCAATGTGGTTTGTTTCAGTTAAGTGCCTGTTGGTCTACGATCAATGTGTTTGTTTCAGTTAAGTGCCTGTTAGTCTACGATCAATGTGGTTTGTTTCAGTTAAGTGTCTGTTAGTCTACGATCAATGTGGTTTATTTCAGTTAAGTGCTTGTTGGTCTACAATCAATGTGGTTTGTTTCAGTTAAGTGCCTGTTGGATTACGATCAATGTAGTTTGTTTCAGTTAAGTGCCTGTTGGTCTACGATCAATGTGGTTTGTTTCAGTTTAATGGTTGTTGGGCATACAGAATGTGATCCGTTTCGGTTTAGTGACTGACGTTTAGGTTTTATGTGTGGTGAACATTGTGGTTTGTCTCGGTGATAAGTGAAGGCTTGGCAACTAGTAATGTGGATTTATTGTTGAAATGGATGCTTGTTTTGTTTCATTGAAGTGCTATGGACGAACAGGGGTATCTGTTCAATGGACAGACAAATTTATTGTTTCATCAAGAATCAGCATATTATGGCACAATTACTTTATGTGAGTGTGTGAATCAGTTACATCTACGCGTAGATCAAGCTAGTTCCTTGTCTATAGTTTCTATTTTCCTTGATCAATAATAAATGTTAAATATAGCCCAGTACCCAATTCCAATGATATAAAAATCATGAATCGATAGATCTCGAGTAACATGCAAAACAGCACAAATCATGAAAAACTACGATTTGGGAACTCATTTTGCTGGAATGTGATTTACACCACGTAATTCCCTGATGATAAATTAGTGAGAGGAACACAACACTGTAAAGCCGCTTAATGGATGAGGGAATCCATTAACCAACCGTGCTTAACATTTCTGCCACTACCCTACATATTCTACATTGGGATTTTCAAAAGTTTTAATTGAAGATCTGGTTTCTTTGAATTTCTATACACCAAAACTGTCTATGTGCCCTATTTGTCACATCAGTTCGCTATTCGCTCAGTTTTGCCTCTAAAATCGACCACAGTTATATTTTCTGATATATAATCTTAGTTCGCAGTATAATGCTTTTATGTTTACTCGTTTGCGTACAAACTGTTTAAATGGCAATAAATGGTTTCGGAAGATATATTATAAATGACTGCTTCTAACAAGGCACCCTATTACTGCTACAAAAAATCATCCATTATCTCAGATCAATTGCCTAAGTCTTTAGATGATAAAGGGCAATCAAGGTTGTGATTGTAAAATCAAAGAACGTCGATGTTCGAAAAAAGGCAATATCAGAAATGTCCCGAAATCCATGAAATAGGATATATTATAAAACAACTATGAGTGTAATGTATTATTCGAAAGGATACAATATATAATTCCAGAGTCCCAAAAAGTCTTCAAAAAGAGGTAGTAAACCCGGGAAACTCGAACGTACTTCTTCAATGCCGGAACAAGATGATACACCACCTTCTGGTCAAGATAAGTCACAAGGGGGACGGTATGGTTCAGTCCCTTGTGACCTTGAGGACCGTTACTATGAATATGACGAAGAGGAAGAGACAAGGCAAAGACAGGATAGGGCTCAATCTGAAGAGCGGTTTAGCGAAAAACATGCGGGTATGTCCAAACCACACTGCTTCTATAGTTTTCCTGTGATTAATCACTGAACAAGTGACACGATTTCTTTGACATTCTTGTCCTTGTCTGACAGGATAAACATGAATTTTTGTTTACCATTAATCATAATAATATTAAATTGACATTATTTAATGCACTTGGTAATTTCAGGCCTACTCATATTCAAGTATATTAGCTGAGGTCACTTAGAGCCAATCGGTTAATATCTGTGACATACAAAATAAAACCATTTATTCTACAAATCGGAAATTTGATTCATTATCCAAAAGTTGAGTCAATTAATTCATTCCCCTCGTTATTGACCTGTTAATATCATGTATCTGTACTTGCATTTTCAGACAAAAGTGAGTACTTTGTTCGTAATCAGGAAAAACAAAAACGATTATTGGAAGAGCAAAAGTTTCAAGAAGAGGAGAGGAGGTACTTACAAGAACAGAAGAGATATCAAGAGGAACAGAAACGCCAAAGACAAGAACAAAAACGACTGAGTGATAAAAAGCAGCGTCTAGAAGAAGAAAGCAAACAAAGGGAGTTAGAGCTAAAACAAAAACAAGATGAAATAGAACAAAAACGTAAAGAACATGAATCAAAACATAGAGAGAAACGTCGAGAGCAAGAACAACAGATCCTTCAACTTGAACAACAAAAACTAGAACGCCAACAAAAACTCAAACAGGAAGAAGAGCGTATTAAAAGGGAACAATTAGCATTCGGAGAACAATACAAAATGGCACTAGAAGATTGGGAAAAATCTGAAAATGAGATCCTGACTCAGATGAAATTGAGACGTGAAAAAAGTGAAGAGGATCTTTTACAAAGAGAAGAACAAGAAGACAAAGAGCATCATCGCAAAAATAAAGAAATGAAAGAAAAGTTAAAACAGGAAAAAGAAAAATTAGAGAAGCTACATGAAGAAACGAGAGCTTGTTTGGAAAATGAATTAAAACAAATTGAAGAAAGGAATAACACGAGAAATGAAAAAGTTCATAAAGCTAGAAATGAAAGGGAGAGAAAAGACGAACTTTACCTTGAGGGACTAAAGAAAGATCGCCACAAGCGTCAAGTGAAAAGAGAACAGGAGCAAAATAAACGTATTGAAGAAGGTAGAAAGAATAAGATTGAAGCAGAAACTATAAGGAAAGAAAAAGAGGACATTGAGAAACAACGACGAATTGAAGAGGAAAAAGACAACAAATGGAAACAACTAGAGGAACAGTTCAACGAGATAAAACAGAAACGGCTTAAAGATATTGAAAAGTTCCAAGAAGCAAAACAGGAAAGGTGCCAACGATTAATCCACCAACAACAGCAGGAGAAGCAAGCAATCCAGGAGCAGTTAGAGATGGAACGTAAAATGCAACAAAGAAAACCGATGAACCAGATGACAAGGGAAAGGGAACGCCAACGCCAACAAGAAGAGGAAGACATGATGATGTTACGGCACACCCAACAAATGATTCAACTCCAGGCGGGAGATGAGGAAGAGGAAAAGGAACTATTGAAACAGAAAGCTAAGGAAGATGAACAGTGGGAGATGATGGAAAGACAATATAAACTACAGCTTGGGGAGAGAAAGAAAAAAGAAGAGAGCTGGAGAAAACTAGAAGGTGAACATGAAAATATTATTTTGAAGCATGAAAAAAGTAAAACTGCTCGGCTTCAGCAGGAACAAAATGCAGTAAAAGCCCAACAAGATGATGAAAAACATTGGATAGATGTCAATAAGCGCCTTGCAAATGCAAGAGAGCAGCAAAAACTGCAAGACCAAGAGGAAGATATCAAATGGAATGCGCAAATACAAAAAGAAAGGGAACAACTTATTCACAAAACACAGCTCCATAAGCAAGAAGAGGAAAAACAAAAGAAACATTTAAAGAGAAAGGAAGAGGAGGAAATATACAGAAGAAAGCAGGAATCAGACCATCGCAAGAACAAACAAAAACAAACAAGAGAAGACAGAAAAGCAAGACATGAGGCTGAAGATGAACAATACACTAAAATGAAACAAGAAAGGAAAATCGCAAGAGAACAAAAACAAAGTGATGAACTTTCTAAAAGGCGTCAAGCGGAAATACATAGAAAATTAGCATTTGAACAGGAAGAACAGGAAATTCAAAATCAAATTAAACTAAAGAGAGAGCAAGAGGAAAAATTAAAACGAGATGAACTGGAACTAGAAAAAAGGCACAAAGAGGAGGAAATTAGACTAAGACAGGAAAAGGAAGAACAAAGACGACGTCAAAAAGAAGAACAGAAGAGGCTACAACAACTTGAGGAAGAACATCAAAAGAAACTTGCAAATGAAGAACAAAGACAGAAGCAACAAGAAGAACACTGGAAACATGAACAAGAGCGGATGAGGAAGCAACGGGATGAAGAGGAAAAGAGAATAAAACAAAGGGAAGAAGAGAGAAGGAAATATTTACAAGAAGAGGAAAGTAGGAGAAAATTGAAAGAAGAGGAAGAAAAGAAGAGAAAAGAGAAAGAATTACAGAAACAGCAGGAGTTACAGAAACAGAAAGAGTTACAAAAACAGCAAGAGTTACAAAAACAAAAAGAGTTACATAGACAGCAAGAGTTACAAAAGCAAAAAGAGTTACAGAGACAACAAGAGTTACAAAAGCAAAAAGAGTTACAGAGACAGCAAGAGGTACAAAAACAAAAAGAATTGCAGAGACAGCAAGAGTTACAAAAGCAAAAAGAATTACATAGACAGCAAGAGTTACAAAAACAAAAGGAGTTAGAGAAACAAAAAGAGTTACACAAGAAAGACCTAAACAAACAAGAACAAGAAAAACTGTTAAAACAAAAGGAAGAAAAGGAAAGGGAAAAGCAAAATGAGGATCAGTTGAAACGCAAGAGGGTAGAAGAAGAACATGTAAATGGTAGTAAGCAAGAAAAAGAGTATAAACGTCAATTAGAACTTCTTGAAAGACACGATCCGAGTCTTAGTCCAATATCACATGGGAGCGACACCCTCAAGGAAATAAATGACGAACATGTAAGATCAGATGAGCAGTCAAAGCGAATGTTACATCGACCACAATCTCTGGTGTTATCAAGACAACACAGTAGTGACGAGGGGGATGAGGAAACCCTAGATACTCATAGTCAGTCTTCCGATTCTGACAGAAGCGGCAAACGACTTTCAAAATCAGACCAGGAGATATATAAACTAGATAAAAAAGAAAACCATGCCGTTAAAAAAGTAAAGTCAGATGATCTAGACTTCGATAGAAGTCACAGTCCACCGTCTTCAAGAACAAGCCCTAGAACTCCACCAAGGAGTCCAAGAATGAGATTTAGAGAAAGCCCACCTAGAAGTCCAAAAACAAAAGAAACATTCTCAGCATTGAGGGGTTGTGTTTCACCACCCGTTTCCCCGAGAGATTCTCGTTTTCCATCATCATATACTGACATATCACCGCCATCCAGGCCCCTTTCAAGAGAAGACATGTTCATTGATGGTTTCAATTCACCTAGAAGCTGTGAAAGTAGGTCTCCAATATCCCCCCAGTTCCTTGATGTTGATCATCAAATACCCGAGAGAAAATCTGAAGAGAAGGTGTACGATCAGACTACTAAGAATCAAACTGGTGTTGGAGAAAAAAATGCAAAACATCTTTTACCAACAGATACAATGGACATCGCATCGTACGCAGCGTCCATTGCAAGTGATACTAACTATCTTACTAACTTGAGCGTCTCACCAACAAATCTTCAGGTTTCTCAAGATGAACATAATTATCTTGAGGTTTCACCAGAATCAAATAGTCCACATGCTGATAGCGTCTCGCCACCATCTCCTCAATATTATGACCAAGAGGATGCGGAACACCAGGATGATGGAAACTACCCAGATCCTTCTCAGAAATCCATAGACCAAGGCGAAAAACGTCAGAAGGTTAAGCCTCCTACAAACCAAAATGACTGGTCTCCAATCACTGACCTGTCACCCATATTAGATGTCTCACCCTCTGTTGAAGCTGCAGCACAGGAAGATATGCTAGCTCAGCAAGAGGGTCGTATACCGAGATCACCAGCATCAACTTCAATTGACAAATTAAATCAATGTCTTCCACCCGAAGAAATCCACATGAACTCACCACTAAAACGATACAAGAAAGTATTAGATATGAGTCATCTTGAAGAAAAAGAACAGAACAGGAAGTGCATGTATATGGGTTCGATTGGGGATGATGACCTAGCTAAAGGAGATGATAGTCATGAGGATGATGAAGCGACGGACCAGAAACAACAACCTAGAACATACGACCCTTCCATGGAAGGCGAAGATGATGACGATGAATTCGTTTTGATTCATGTTAACAATTCTGACCTTCAAACACAATCCAAGGTCATTGAGCAGGGCAATTCCATCGGAAAACTTAGCACGTCACCTGGGAATAAATCAAAGTCAACACCTGAATCAACTAAGAAAGTAAAACGAACCTTGCCACAACCAACTCCCGAGATTTTAGCCACAGAGATTGATTTTAAAAAGAAGCCTGTCATTAAACCCAGACCAAATGTCTCAATGGAACCAAAAGCACAGCACATTTTGAGAGGTGAACAAAAAACTAAGGTTAAACGTGATATTGTAAAAACAGCCAATAAACCTACAAGGGAGTACGCTGCACAAACAGTACAAACAATGCCTAGTAAGTCTAAATATGACACGAGGGGATCACCTGAAAGAAGAGATAAATCAGCATCCCCAGTACGCAGACTCAAGGATTTAAAAGCCCAACCACACCCCGATCGTTTAAAACACATAGAAGCAGAAGAAGCTCCTAATACCTCCCCTTATAAGAAACTCCTTACCTCTCCTCTCGAGCCACATGCAAGTGACACATATAAGAAAGACTACAGTCAGAGAAAGCATGACAGCCACGAAGAACCATATGGCTATCCATCTCCAGTCACACCCCCTGATTCCGAGGATTCCCCACCTAAAGCGCACTCGCCAACTTATAAACCGACACAGTCGACTGTTTCGGTAAGGCAACGGAAGTCTCAATGGGAGAAAAAGGAACCCGAAAAGGTAGGTCAAACTCTGTATTGAAAAATCGTCAATTATTGGTTGTCTAACTTCAAATTGCATGAGTAATAGTTTAAAAGAAGGGACAACATTTAGCGTTCAATCTGAGCAATAGAGGCACAGCTGAAATGCACAATTATGAATGATAACGATAAAATAACAATGAACACAGGCTGGTATCGAAATATTTGTCCGCTGTGACGGAGCATGCTATTTTTCATAAAAACACTAAGAATACTTCACGATTTATTTTTTAACTCATATGTTTCGTTATACCATACAAAATTACTAACTCCATGCAATGGATATATCATTTGCGGGTAACTTTATCACTTCTGTTTGAAGTCCAATTACGCTGGGAAGAAAATCTATTGAAAATTGCGCCGGAGTATCAGACTTCAAAATGTACCATTTCTTGTTTAACTTTCTAATGGCACGATATAGTGACACGATAATATCTACACATGGTTTCAGCATAACTATGAAGGTATAAATGAGATGTTGATGTATTTGGTCTTTTTAATTCTTTTATGAAAAATAATGTTTAATTTTTTGTCCGCTGTGACGGAGCAGTTGCAAATGTTAACTGTGAAAATGCTCCGTCACAGTGGACAAAAAATATTAATATTATTTTTTATTAAAAAATTAAAAAGACCCAATGCATTAATATCTCATTAATACATTCAGAGTTATGCTTAAAACATATGTTAATATTATCGTGTCACTATATCATGCCATTAAAAAGTTAAAAAAGAAATGGTACATTTTAGAGTTTGATACTCTGGCGCCGTTTTCAATAGATTTTACTCCTAGCGTTATTGGACTTCAAACAGAAGTGAAGGTTACACGCAAATGATATATCCATTGCATGGAGTAAGTAATTATCTTTGATATAACGAAACATATGAGTTAAACAATAAATCGTGAAGCATTCTTAGTGTTTTTATGAAAAATAGCATGCTCTGTCACAGCGGACAAATCTTTCGATACCAGCCTGTGATGAACATATCTAGTCAACTAAGTTATCAATCATATGATCCGATATATCAATCATTATTTAACAAGTTACTTTTCAGGAAAAATCCAGTCCAAGTCCAAAGGACACTCCAAAAAAGATCAGGAGAAAACTTCCACCACTGCCTCCCGACGCAGACGAAAATGACCCTCCTCCATTGCCCTCAAGGAGAATCACTCCTCCACCTAAGCAACAACCACAAAAAAGAGATGGTACGCCTCCGATGGATCTAAAAAACAAAATAACAAAGAATGGCAGGGTAGATCGTGTAGAGAGTATTAAAACATTATCACGAGTGGCCAGTGACAGTGACGAAGAGGTAGTTGAGATTACGCTACAAGGTAAAGACAAACCTCATGTTGAGAAAATTGAAATCAGAAAAGCTAGAGATAAACCTAAATTACCGCCAAAACCAAAGCAAGAGGAGATTGTAAATATTCACGGAGTAAAGGTCCCCCTTCCAATGAAGAGAGTAAGACATCGATTAACAGAAGAAATGAAAATTGTGACCATGTCAAGAAAAATGCAATTGGAAGAATTAGAGGAAATACAAAAACTGGAAGCAAAACTAGAGAGCTTAAGGCTTGCTGAAAAAGAACAAAAAGAAACTCTAGAAAGGTATGAAAAGGAGCTGGATAAAAAACGAGTTGAACAAAATTTAATTCGACCGATTGCTCAAGAAACACAGGAAGAAATATCGCCCATTCTCGACATATCTGATGTATTATCCCAATCGGGTGACGCAGCACCTCCACGTCCTCCTAGAGCTGATATTTCCAAAGGTAAAACAATACCCGGTATCCCACCAACGATACGTGTTTCACCCCAAGCGTCACCCAGGAGAACAAGACATAAGCGCCAAAATTCAGACCCAATGGTTGCCAAATTCTCACCAATTGAAGAGGCAAAGGATATTGAGAATGATATCAATCTGCACTTGATAGACCATGCACCTCCACTGCCACCAAGATCTAATAATATATACATACCAGGCACAACTACTACCTATTCCCCTGGGTCAACCGTTACACCAGTCACATCACCACAGAAAAAGAGCCATACGCTTCTATCTAAATCCAGCGAGGTCCTGAATGCAAGGCCATATCAGAAACAGAACGATCAATTTCTCACTTCCAGTAAATCTGAGATGTTTCTCCGAACACCACCAAGTGTCCGCCGGGATATACCGAAAGATCCCGAGAGCCTGAGAAAACAAGAGATGAAACTGAATCTCCAACTAGAGATAGAAAAGAGGAAAATTAAAATGGATGAAGCAAGGAGACTTCAACATGAACTTAGGAGATTATGCAACGCTCCTGACGTCACATTAGACGAGTTTGAAGAGGTAAGGAAGAAATACCAGGACCACATTCAGAGTAGGGATGCTACAACCCCTTATGATAACGTCCCAAGTGGGATAATTCGACCCATAGACTTTGAAATTGACTCCTACACTTGGGAATATTCTCAGAAGGAGTATGCAGCCTATAAAGAAATGGAACGACAACGGGAAATGGAATTAAACGAGCACAGTAGTTATGACAGTGATAATTTTAGCTCCTCAGAATACATAGCTCATAAAATTATAGATAATAGACACGACTATGTTAATATGAATATATCTAGCTCTGGAGAGGGTCTAGATTTTGCAACAGGAAATTATCCATTAACTTCCAAAGAATACCAGGAACATAAAATGTCACAACAAAATATGCAAAGACAAAATAACTATGTTAATATTAATGCCTTCCCACATCAACTTGATTACACCAATCGCAGTCAGCCTGAAAATGCCAACTATGTAAATATTAATATTCCTTCGAAACACGACTATGTCAACTTGCATATTAAATCTAAACATGATTATGTCAATATAAATGACCTTACCAGTCCTTCCAATTTCCCCATTTACGAAAATGTCAACAAAATGGCTTCCCATTGCAATAGTAGAAAGATCAATCAAACTACTGAGAGGTCCACACAGAGTAGGGATTCTGGCGTCTCCAGTGGGACCAATGTTACAGCGTCTGATTCCCCTCAACATAAATCGGATATTGATTTGTCTCAGCCATTTGAAGGCTTCTCGGACTATTCACCTGTACCCACAGACCCCGAAATCAGTCCACCAAGTGATGTTACGCCCGCGATGCCTTTACTTGATGACGTCACTGTTAAGTCGAGAAAGATCCTCCATGGTATAGGAAGTAGGCCTTTAAGTGGTGACATGGAAACTTATATAGATGGAGGTAAATATATATACATATACAAATTGCATTACTATAGCTTTTCGAAATATACTAAATGCAAACAATCGATTCGATCTACGATTCTTTCTTACGGAAGATGTTTGAAATACCCATTCTGAATTATATCATGCAATATTTTTTCTGAAATTCTTTGATAGTTTTGTATTTGAATTTTCCTGTCGGAGTCTTTCTTGTGATATGAGTTTATTTGAAATTGCTTGGCCTTATGTGGGCTTATTAGACTGTTATGTGCCAGAAGTAGTAATATATGAGCCGGTCGTTCCACTTGTAATTACGGAGGCAAGCCAGAGATAGACATTTGTGTAAACCCATCATAAGTAATAGGAAACGTGGATTCGCACATGACCAATATATATTTTCTTTCTCAAAGCAAGTATTATAAATAGGTTATAATAATAAAGCAAATCAAGAAAACACAAGAAACTGTAATTGTGTTGCAGAGTTGCTTATCAGGCAATTGGACGCTCTTTTAAGGGTTCTGGAAAGTTTATCAAGCGATTTTGTTATTGAAATTATCAATGCCTATAGGAAGGTGATTTCTAGTTTTTTCTAGTTTCCATGGTTTCACAACTGAAATTCTAACACTGCTTGTTATCAAGTTATAATGACGTTCAAGTTTGACTCATTTTACTGTTGAAGCACTATTAGAATATCACCTTGGATACACTTGAAGGTGACAAAGACTGTATAATTACAACAACACTGATTACCATCTTTTACTTAGAAATGCTGCAACAAATTTCGATGCCAAGAACGCCCAGTGACACTAACGTAAGAGACGAGGACGGTCAAACAATGGACGCCGTGGAGTTTGAAGGAGAAGGAATCCTCAAACAGCTGGAGAAAAAACAGCAGGTACGTTATTAGTAATTAAACTCCAATGCCTTACAAACATATAGACGTGTTTAAATACCAAAATGAAAGTTGTATACTTTTTTATAAACAATGTCAAGATATATTTGAAGTTAAAGCAATTAACACTTTCTAAAGAGAACAATCAATGTACTTAGAGTAAAAAACTTTTGAATACGTTGTCAATATGAAAATCATACTAAAAATTTAAAAGGTATATGAACAAAAAGATATATTATCAAATTTGGAATAACATGAATAAACTGATTAAATACTTTCCAATTACGTCCGAATCAACATCTTTTAACTTCTCTGGCTCATTGGAATCAAATTTTTATTATCTTAGTGAATGGTTTGCTTCTTTTTCATATTATATAACTGCAATTCTGATAAAATATTTGTATATATTTTATATTAATAGTATTGTTTGAGAGACGGTAGTCACACCCGGTGATCGTGAATATGGGACGGAGGGGGGGGGGGGGGAGCAGGCATTTTCTGCTAGGAAATTCAACAAATCCGGAAGATTTATTTTTTCAAGAAAAAGTTTACTATTGAATTGCTAAATGGATAGGCACACGGTATGGTAGAATATGTTAGGTTTTCTGGGATTTTTTCTGAAACGATACGCATTTAAGGTATGAGATCTATTAAAAAAGGCGCAAGGCCATCAACAGGCACAAATCAACGTTTTTGCTATAAATCAAGCAACAATGGTCTGGACGACCTGTAATAAATACTTGTAAGTGATGTTATCATAACTAAATTAATGTCATTGCTGAATTTATAAAATAAGTTTCCATATGTGAAATAAAAAATAATCGAAAATAATGAATTTGGGACGGAGGGGGGGGGGGGGGGGAGGGGACGGAGGGGGGGGGAGCAATATGTATATAAGACATGATTAGAGATGTTTCGCGACTTTAAGTCCTTTTACTCCAAATGTCCCCATTTTTCAGTCTCCAGGGGTATATCATCCAGTTTCTCACTAAGTTAATGAGTTAATTTTTCAAATACAAGAATTCGTGTGAAGTTGTTTCACTTTATAGAATTATTACTCCCCCCCTCCGTCCCCTCCCCCCTCCGTCCCATTTTAATTATTTTCGATTATTTTTTATTTTACGTATGGAAACTTATTTTATAAATTCAGCAATGACATTAATTTAGTTATGATTACATCACTTACAAGTATTTATTACAGGTCGTGTAGTCCATTGTTGCTTGATTTATAGCAAAAACTTTGACTTTTGCACGTTGGTTGCGTTGCGCCTTTTTTAATAGATCTTATATCTTAAAAGAGTATTGGTTGAAAAATAATCCTAGAATACCTAACATATTTTATCATACCGTGCGCTTATTCAATTTGCAATTCAATCGTAAACTCTGTCTTGAAAAAATAATTTTACCAGATTTGTTGAATTTTCTAGCGGAAATTGCCTGCTCCCCCCTCCGTCCCATTTTCACGATCACCGGGTGTGGTAGTTGTAATATTGAAAGAGACGCAGTAGCCTAGTGCATTACTTTGTACCTCGTAGTCACATAGCATAAGTTTGAATATATTTGGAGTACTAAAATAGAGAATAGTATACAGTAATGATAATCATATTCAATTTTGAAACAAATAACACTCAGAAAAATGGAAACTGAAAACCCATAAGTTAATGATAGAAACAAAACAAAAAATCCCATTGGAAACAAAACTCGCGCAATGTACAAAATATAGCCCTAGTATATGAACGTTGCTGGATTTACTTTTGCTTTTCTTATTTTGGTAGAGACTCCATTGACTTATTTGTATGGTTTCTTATGATGAGTTGACTTTTGATATACGTTAAGAAATCACCGAGGAAGATTTTCTATATCCCTTGACATTTTTACATTTTGACATTGGGAGGTTCATTTACTATATTCCAAGTATTAGATTCAGACGCTAAACGCTGGAGGTGTCGATATATTAATTGTTTGACATATTGATATTTTTCAGGATATTGAAAATCATAAAAGTTGCTGATTTGTTTGACTCAATTGGGAATTTATGAAAAATATCGAATCCTAAACTGATTGCATTTGTCTCTTTTACATAGTTGATCTATTGATTGCATATTGGTTCCTGAAATATACTACATCCAGATTGTACCCAGTAGACTATTATATGTAACATATTGGGGTTTGTTTTCGCTTGTGGTTTATCCCTACAATTAGGGAATGGTCGATAAACTTACACTCAATAGAGAACTCATGCATTTCAACAAAGCGCATATTATTGATAAGTTAAAATAGATATTTCGATATTATTATATGAAGATATTTCGGTTCCAGTAGTTTATTGTTTACAATTGTACTCCAGGCTCTCTCTCCAAAGCCCATTCGTTATGACTTCCCAACGAAGAGAATCTTGCTCACAAAGGACCCCAAAGACAAATCTGTTAGAGGTAGGTATCAATTGATGCAACACATTTTTTAGATGTATATTTGTTTGCTCACTTGTTTGTTAATGTTTATCAAAAAAATCAATTTCATATATATTGCCACTTGATTTCTAACATTTAGTTGAGTGTAAAATACGCAGTATATTTTCTAACTGAATATGGAAATATTCATAAAAATGAATCATCACTAAGGCGATCCTATTTCACACAATTTCAGTTTATATTTTGTTTTATGTTTAGGTAATGGATGTGGTATGAAAATAGTTGGTGGTAAAGCCCTGTACGATGGGGATGGTGCTACCGGTGCTTATGTAGCTGCAATATACCCAGGAGGTATAGCTGACCAGCTGAGAGGAGAACTCCATGAAGGTATACGATCGCGAGAACCTAATCAAAGTAGTTGACAATATTGACAATTTTGAAATCCAGTTTATTGACAATTTTGACCAAGAAGATGTTGGCCTCATTTGTAATTAAGAGGTTCTTTTTAATATCAAATATATCCACTGTTTCACCAGGATATTTTGACACAGGTGCATCAAATGGGACATGCGATTGCACCCCTCCGGGAGACAATGTGCTTACGAATTGATCAACTCTTTAGAGGGATCATTCAATATACTGAGTGGTTAAATAAAATCATTATTTCAGGCGATCAGATATTAGAGTGGAACGGAATATATCTGACGAATCTCACCTATGAAGAAGTCCAAGCGGTAGTAAGCCAACCAGGGAGCGAAGTTGAAATTGTAGTCAGACCGTGAGTTGCCTCGATTCCTAGTTTTACATACGATGCAGTGATTTATATACAGTGCCCACCAAAAGATAAATGGCATTTTGAATTTCTATCACCGTTCCCAGACGTCATACTCTCCAATAATGTCTAGATACACATCCCTACAGAGTTTTGTTTACTTTACATTTTATATACTCTCAACTATTAATGTATGGTTGAAAATTCTCTTATTTTTAACATGGGAAATCCTCACTTCAGCAGATCCAGGTGTCATTTATTTATGGTGAGCACTGTAGTTTCATTTGTCAAATGTATTTTGAGAATTTTCGTTGACAAGAAACACAAACTACGAGGTGAATACTCAATTTTTAAACGTGAAAATAAAAACAACGATCCCAATTCGTGATACTTGAGATATGCATCAATTTACGCAAATTAAACCTATTTAAAAATACGAAGAATGTACCCAAAAATGTCCATATCGATAATACTGTTCAGCTACATTTCCTTTTGTAGCGGTGCGTTGATGAATGACCAGCACTCCAGTTCCTGTACCCTTAGATCAGATAGTATCCATTCATCCTATGACAACCTAGACAATCCTGATTATGCCTGGGATGACTACGGTAAGTGGGGAACTGCTTGCTTGTACAATATTTGTGTTTGATAGACCTGTTTTAAATGAATTGCATGCGATGGGAATTACATAGTTGTGCTATTAACCAGGTTTGTCGATCATTAACTAGATAAAGTAAAGATTATATGTTATTGTGATATGCCTTATGTTTTAATGATATTATATACATGCTGTATGTTCATGTGATGTAACGTGGTATTGAGTTTGTATCTACAATCAAGATTCTACGTCACGAAGGAAACTAGCTTTAACTATTCAAATTGACTTGTTGCTTTGTATCGTCAGTTACATCGCCTATGTATTTGCACTGTATCAAATGTGGTATAATCATTATTTTCAGTGGCTGATCTTATTAGTCCGCCATTGCATATTTATTTGAATATAAGGAATAAGCAAGCATTTGATCATGTGCTTAATGTAGATCTACAAATTGCCTATTATGCCTAGTATATACGATGGATTACATTGAATCACACAGAGAACGTAAATTACTCGATATATATAGGGTGGGCCAAAAACAATACCCAAGTTTAAATATGAATATCATATGATATAATTATGTTTAAATCATACCATGCCATGTCATGGGTATTGTTTTTGGTCCATCTCGTGGAATTCAATTCAGCCAGCCCAAAGAAATCAATGCAAAACCACAATGGTAACCTCCTCTGTGTTCCTGATGGATTATGTTATAGATTAGATGTAATTTATTTGGAGATTTCTTGCAAGATTCCATCAGTAATGCTTCCCAATATATATATGCATATATGAACATAATCTGACATGTTTTATTTTTTCTAAGTTTTGAAATTTGATTTGATATTATGGTTGGAATTTAACTTTTTGTACTTTATTATATCGTTTGGATTGCTTTTAGGTTAATCGTGAGCTTAATACTTAGCTAACTTGCTTTATGTATAGACAAAACAACAAGTCAATTTAGCTTTGTTTCATCTGCTTGACTCGAAACAATATTGTAGTTTCTGTGACATAGTTGACGCAAAGGTAGTGAACATTAGGTTTTATCTTCAAATTAATACTATTCACGACAAGAAAAGTTGAGTTGTTCAGTATTAACACGCTCTTCTCATCCCAATCATGATGGTTCGCAATAACACGACAGTCTCACCTCTGTCAGAGGAATTATCAAAAGGTTATTGGGATGTAACAGTGCTGACATCTATATCAACTGCTTTTCTGATAACTACTCATGATTGGTTGACCTTGGCATATGACCTTGACCTGGTATGCATGTTGTAGATGCATCCTCATGCTTAGACGTGATTGACGACTGCAGCATAATGTAGGTGTCCATCATAACAAAACATATCATAGTAAGTAACAGCGAGAGATGGCTGAAAATGAATTAGATATATACATATTTGTGCTGTGTTGATTGCAAGTTAGACCTATTGGCGCTGTGGTTAAGGGTTTCGACATGCTCCAAACTTCAGAGATTGACACGAGTCATCCAAAAGATGTTCCGATGGCAATTTGGCACTGGGGTTGGGAGGATGTTGTGCATATTCCTCATTTAAGATCGTATATCACAGCTACATTGAAAGTGACTTAATTTGGAGATGTTGAATGAGGGATCCCTTCCTTAACCATTGTGATTATTGCAGCCTGACTGCCGTGTAGTCTATTATGCCTGTGGTACCTTTAAACAACCTTCATTTGCACATCTGAATGTGTTATGTTAGAGTCTGTCTTGTTAGATATTGATATTGTGCTGTACCATAACATTCCAGACATTTGCTCCAACCGTTTTCAAAGGCTATATAGCCAGGATATAACTCTTAGCAATAAATGCACAACTCTTTTGAACAAACAGCATCGAGGCCATGACTGTTGTATTTTATGAACGCCAATACCCTGAATTACACACACAACTATAATGCAGCAATCCACTACACGCGCTATCTAAACATGCAAGGCCATTCTTTTATTATTGTGTAGAATCCTTGCAGACTCTGTGCATTGCCTGTAACTTGCCTATAACAAATATTCTCAGATTAGCCTTGTGACGATCAAAGAGTGCATAGTAGAAATATTATTGACTAATATTGATGTATTGGACAGTACTACAAATTAAATGCATTATTTCGAACAACATTACATTATTGTAGAGCTGTACATGAAGGTTGCTTATTGGAATACTAACAATTACTTGGCATAAACTAAATAATCCAGCCAGACAGGTAGTGAATGTAGATTCCATATTGTACTGTAGATAAATACCTGGATTCAACAAACGGTGTGGACCCCAAAGAGTTAGCTGCCCACCTGGTGCAAATGCAGGAACGAGTTTCTCCCGGAGTTTCACCAAATTCCTCCCCTATAGAGTCTCAGTCGACCCCAGGGAATGCATCCTCAGCCACATCTGCAAATGGCTCGGTTTCAAGCCCTGCAAGTGCCTTGCAACCAACGGGCACCGTTTCAGCACCCTCTAATACAGCCTCTTCTTCTTACAAAACAACTAAGCCCACCGCATCCCAGATTCCCACCCCAACCCCTACTCCAGTTCCCAAGTCCAACACTAGCACACCACCGCCACCGCAAAGTAACGTTTTAAAGGTAAGCCTAGACATTTGTTGTTGTCAGGCTTGTAGCAGTCAATCCAACTGTTCAACTGGTAATGCAACATATTTCATATAAATAATTTCAGATTGATTGATTTGATGTTTAGAATTTGTATGGATATGCCAGTATTATTAAAGTCTAGCAATACCATTCATTCTGGACAGTTGCATATGCCATATCAAGACAGTTGGAAACATTGCAGTTTTATTGTTGTATAGACATGTGTGTTTGCATGGTCTCTCTGTACCCTTTTAGCATGTAGTCCTGTGATGTAATGCTGACCAATCTACTACTAGATTCTACTAGGTGGTCTTGAAATCTTCAGGTAATTTTTCTTTTACATTAGCATTCACTATATATACTATCTTAGCATCTATATCTAATAATGGAATGATTCTATAAGAATGTATGGTCACGTATTAATGTCACTATTGTACCATGTTTCATCATTCTATATTTTGTACTATAGTTAAACAGTAGTTTGATGTATTCATTGCACATTACCTGATAAATATAAATTCTTAATAAAACACACCAACTCCCAAACTACTACGTTTTAGCAGCTTTCGTAACCATTTTGGTATGGGAGGTATATAAATTTGATCAGATGCAGATAGCTCATTTGATTTTTTTCTGTCCCATATACTCTTATTGACCGGATTTTGTCTGTCTTATCTGTACTTGTACGGATGTGTTCTGTTCCACATCATTTCAATTGAATATTTCACTGTTCTAGCATCAATACTATTTTTCATGTTAAGGTATTGTTTTTTCTTTTTGATTTTTCTTCTACATTACTATTCTATAATTGTAATGAGCTTACTATGAATGACATTTTCAATGATCTTGTGGTTTTAGGTTGCGGTAACGATTCTTAAATAGTGGGGGATGGGGGAAAATAGACCAATCAAATAGACTGATAAAATAGATAATTTTTAGTGTTAATCAAAAAACTAACAATGTTCTGTTTGATTTTTCACACCCAACTAGTATTACTTTATTATTCACAAAGCGCACAACCAAACAAAGTTGAATGTATCGACTCCTGAATTATTCATTGTCTTGTAATTTATGGGCACGATCTAGCTAGTACCTTACTGATCTTCCTTACCACAAATAAGATCTCGGAATATTTTCCAATATGTCAATTTGATACTATCATTTGAAGCATGACTATATATAACAGTGACACATGTATATTTTCATTTAGACCTCTAATGCTTGTTTATCTTTCTTATTCAAAAGATTTATTTATCAGAAACAATTGGAAAACTGAGTTGTATAAGAATTTTATTAAAACCCATGAATTATTAAAACAGTTATTGCAAATAAAAAATGTGGACGTTTTTAGCCACCAAAAACTCGACCAGGAACTATCAAAGCTTACCAAGAATGAACGATCCAACAATTATTTCCTGATATTAATTGATATATACATATTCAGATATTACGGAGCAAACATGATTTTAATAATAGCCATTCATAGATCCTAGTTTGTGAACCTGAAAATGGGTTGTTTTGGTCAGTCTTATATATCATTCTCAATATCTTCAATTTCTGAGAGATCACGAACCAGAACCCCCTCATGTCAATGACATTTTGCAATGCATGTATCAGTGGAGATATTAAATAATCAGTCTTTACTTCTGTTTTTGTTAGTCTGTTGAATATGTATGTTTAAATTGTACTTTTCATTATTCATTCTTTAGATATATTAGGTATCACTAATTATTATGGCAATCTAAACAATCAATAATGGGATTACATATCGTTATATATTGAAGGTACTAGCATGATTGCTTTAAGAGAATTAAAGAGTAAAGATTGTTTTATTTGAGTGCTATACATGTACAGGTCTATTGGTATAGAACTCAAATTTCAGTCGTTTACAGAATTATGCGATTGAATTTGACATCATCCCATGTGTACTAGCTTGATGGGTTGTTGTACGTGTATAGATATGGTAAATGTATTAGGTACATGTCATTGACATGTTTAGGAACCATTCATGTTTATCAATGCATTATTAATGTAATGTTCGTTGTTAATAATGTTCTCTGTGTAGTAAAAGTATATATTGTCTGAAGAAAGGAAAGTATGCGTATGGAATATTATATATTTAACAACATAATGAAGTGAGAACTTTTCATCAACATTTTAGTTAAAGTTATTTACTAGATTTTAAATAGCAGTTAAATATATGGACTGAGGTAAATTAAACTGAACGGTATTTAATATAATATGTATATAATATTTATTGTAGACCATAGTGCCTGAAACAAAGAAAGATGTTGGTGAAATTCAGGTATATTTTGAAGCTCATTTTCCCCCAATGATAAACTGATAAAAGGTGAATAAGTTAAAAAATATGACATATCATTATAATTAACTCAAATAACAAGGCTCTGAATAATCAGTATCCAATCCTGAAATATTATGCTGGACTTCCATACAGTTCGATTTAAGCATTGCTGTGATGTACGAGTATAATGCCGCAATCCTATGTTTTTATGTTTTAAATCATAGTTCAAAAATCTCCATTTCAGCTACAACTTAGTTACGATGATTATGACAATAGTTTGAATGTACACGTTATAAGAGCAAGGAATCTGCCACCCAAAGATGCCAATGGTTTAGCCGACCCTTATGTTAAAGTTTATTTGCTACCTGGAAGAAAGTACGTTATATGATAATCTGTATGATAAAATGTTGAAATCTATTGCAACACATGTGGGTTCTTGTTTTTTTCAATCCAGATTTGTCTTTATTGTATTGGATATGTCCTTTCCCCACTACACATTTCCACATAATTCTCAGATTAATTTTTTACATTGCATAAAATGATTGTTTCAGTAGAAAAATGTATACTAGTATACAATCGATATCATAGTGGAGAGTAGTAATGTGCGATGTTCTGTCAGGAAGGAGATGATAACTCTTCGTCTAATTCAACCCCGGAATTCAACCTGTTTATAATATATTTTAGCAATGACCACAAACGACGCACTAAGGTCATACCCTGCACGTTAGAACCGGACTGGCAACAGACAATGGTTTTTATGGATGCTCCAAAACATACTTTGAAAAACAGAAGCCTAGAATTCTCTGTTTGGGATCACGATAAATTGAGTGCAAATGACTTCATGGGTGTCGTAATTGTTGAGTTAAAAGGTAATCTAATCTATTTCGTTATTTTACATAAAATTCGCACATTAAATTGATGTCATAATAAAGATAATGTAAAATCCATTTAGATATACCAATTATACAAATTGAATTTAAGTTAAAATCATATTCTTTTATCAGCTTATAGTTCTTAGTGGCTTATCATATATGAGCTCCCTGTGTCCCTTTCTTACAGATAAAAAGGTACTGGACAACAAACCAAAATGGTATAAATTATCTGATCAAAAGAGCATTATTAGATCTGATGCCATGTCTCCTACAAGCAATGATTCAGGGGGTTCCTCCAACAATACCAGCAACGGCAAAGTTGATAAGGATAAACATGACAAAGAAAATTACCAATCTAGAGGGAGGAGCCCTGCCAGAAACAAAACTTCAAAGCAGGCTAAATCAAGGGATACCTCACGAGATAAAACGTTAGACACACCCTCTCCAGTGAGTATAGTTTTTTTTATTTGTTTTTTTTTATAATTTTTTTTATTTCAAAGAATAAGCATGTTAAAACAATTGCAAAAACAATTACAATACAGTTACATGGTAAACATACATTTTACAATTTTACAATACAGTATTGGTTAAGCGTTATTCTTTAAGAAAAGTTATAACATTGGCAATCTTTTTTATTTATGAGTATAGTTCAACAGAGCATCTTCAACTCAGAAAATAAGAAATTGGCAGTCCATATTTACATCTAACACAATGCCAAATATGTAGTTGCCAAAAGATAAAACGACAAAAACCATACAAGCAACAAAAGAAACATCTTATAGCCAGTTATAAAGTAAAAATCGAAAATCATGTCTTAAAACCCCCTTCACCACCATTCAAGAATTTAAAGATTGATCTAATAGAAAGCCATCCTGATGTAGATGTTGATGTATTTGTAGAAGAAGCAACATTTCAGTCCTGGCCTTGGAAGACGGCAGCCTGTCAGTGGCAATTCAAATAGTAAGTTCTACTCTTATTATTTGATTCCAGCTATATCTGTCTCTATAATTCTTTACTTTCCTTGTTTTTCTTTTTTTGACTCTTATACCCATAGCATTACAGACAGTTTGCTTATGATATGTTGCGGCTTAATCAGTTTGATAATGTACCACATGCTTTTTCTCAATTTCTCAAACACTAGCATCGCTTCTTCCATCATTGTATAGAATACAGTATGTTTCTAAAATATGTATAGTAAATTTAAATTGAGATAAACAGTACCAATATTTTATCTTGTAAATTGCTTATATCACCTTAAAGAGCAAATTTGCTATTGTAATTATAATATACTTTATTGTTGTAAAACGTGGTATCAATCCTATAGCATCTTAATAAAACGTATTATTAGGTTATGTCATCATAGTAGAAAACGTTTGTACATAATATCATAAAATATGTATATTTTACAAATGTACACATTCTTTTCTATGTATTAAAATTCTGCACGTATCACAATAGCTAACTAATACAGCAAGAAATGATTGCATAAACCATTGTTCAATAATTTAATCTTTTACTGTAATTAGTGAGTTACTACATATGACATAATAATGAAAGTCATGGATCATTTTTACTGAATTTAGACTGTATTTTACTCTCTAAGTCAATCTAGACTGTATTTCTGTTTTCCTGTAGCTAATACTACTCCTGTAGGCAAGCAGTCCTTGCATGCTCTCATAACTTCAGTGTTGTGTTGCTCAAACAGGAAGCTCCCTAGATAGGTAATCACAATACATTACCATGGCACATAGTCAGCTAAAGTATACTATTTTATCATTTACTAGTTGAATACTAAAGCTTCGTTGGATTTTGTTTATTTTTATGATGGAAAGGGCTTGGGGTTGATATTTGTCATGACTTAGGCGCTTACATTCAGAAGCAGACCAGAAGCACCTTTCTTGCATACGAATGCAACACATTGACATTTATGCTGACTTTGGCGATGTTACTTAATGAGACATCATGTCTTCCCTATGCATGACGTTGAATGTGACGGCTTTGTGGTGACAATGACGTTGTAGTAACATGGCACCATTTCGTTATAATTCTAACAGTGCCTGTATTATTTCTCACAGTGTCCGTGTAGACAGCGTCTGCATGCAATGGTGGTGTCATTTTAGCTTCAATGTTCTTTTGACTTACTTTTATGTGTACGGATCTTTCTATTTTAAGAATTGAAAGGGAAATTGAAAGTAAAAGGCAACAGAGAGAGTCATCGGCAGGAAGTTCACCCATAGTTACAAGAAAAATTGGCAAATACAGTTCCCTTACTTCTATCTTCACAAGGGGTAACAATGTTGCTGTATCAATGTATAGATGTATATACATAGAGGGTGTCATTTTTCTAACATGTCCTAGTAAAACATTGCTATATAAGTGTAGAAACATAGCAGGTGAGGGTCCCCACATGCCCCTATAGCAGCATTGCTCTGTTAGTGTTTAGATGCACGTTCCACGGGAAACAAATGTAGTAAGACCATAGTCAACATAATCTATACATGGCATTATGAAACTCATTCTATTTTGAACGACTAAGGGTTGCTCTTAGATTACAGTATGAAGGCCAAATGGTTATTTGTTTAGATATAAAGATTCAATCAAACCTTCTGAAAAAAGATTCTCATCAGAATAATTTTCATATTATGTACGTAGGTATGTCTTTTACAAGTAAAGATGCCGACCAAGAACATAATGTTCACACAGGAGAAAGAGCCCCTTGAAATGTCCATTGCCCTCATAACAGGGTGTTCCAAAAATGAGTACATTATATTCAAGGTAACCTTTCAATCTTTTAGGAATTCCCGACCAAACCGAACGACACTATAGTACAATAACCAGGACTGAAACAGCAAGAAAATCTTACGCATTGAACGATATCTAATTTCCCGGTGAAAATTGCCGGTCCAGAATATATCCAGATATAGTAAAATGAATGCCTTCTAAACTAGCACTAAAACCCCTAGAACTGGCCCGGCAATAATTATTACCACCTTTCCGGGCCAGTTCTAGGGGTTTTAGTGCTAGTTGAGAAGGCATCCATTTTACTATATCGACCTGAGAAATATGTGACGTCATAGTGGTGGTCCATATGGACCGGTCTAGAATATATTCTGGACCGGCAATTTTCCCCGGGAAATTAGATATCGTTCAATGCGTAAGATTTTCTTGCTGTTTCAGTCCTGGTCGTTAAAGGTGGTAATAATACTAATAACGTCATTTCTGAGAGCAATATAGCCTTCGGCCCTCGGTCCAATATTTCACTATATTGCCCTTAGAAATGACGTTATTGTACTATTATAAGTGAGCATTGCTAGAATTATTTGGAATATTTTTTTTATAAAGATGTCTACATTGGTATTTAGTATTGGTTTGCACCAATAAATCCATAAAATATATACATCTAAAATCACTATGCCAAATAAAATATAGATGCTTTCAATTAGCACAACTTTGGAAGTCTCGTA